GCTGACAAAGTCCTGAATTAGATCCTTCCTGGACATGAAAGGACGAACAATGATAGCTGTTTGGCTTGCTGAGGAAGTCACCAATGTATATTCTATTACATTTACTGGTAATGACTTGCATAACGGCGCAGACATACTTTGGTTAAATGAGACCTAGTCCACGCAGGCAATCCTTTCGACAAGAGTGCAAATCTAAATGAAATGTAATGCTTAATTGCAACATGTGTTAACCCTTGCAGTGTCGGACCAGTCAAGACACAAATGGTAATTGACATTCTTGTGTCAGATCTTTCCACCAATACATGGGAGTTTTTTGTTTGTTACATCTTCTTCGTGCGTGAATAGATATAGTGTTTGCGATGTTATTTTTTCAAAGAGCCACCTTGAGAAACTCACACAGTTTATGCTCTGAACAATACAACCAAATCAATATTGATTTCCTGACAACATGGTGGACGCCCAAAGTCTATCAGGACTGAATAGAGTCATCAGGGCGCTACAGGAACTGTCTACAACAGATGATGGCTTCTACAAAATTATATTGGTGGACAAGGAGACATTCACACGATGCAGCTGCCACATACGATATATGACCATGGTATTTACACTTCACACGTCTGTATGGAAACTACCCGACCGGGGTTATTACCACTAACACGGAATCGGAATTGTCTGATTTACAGATCCGACCGTTTGTTATGCGTCCTGGATAGATCAGGACTAATAGACTCGGATACTTAACTTAGAAAAGGACGCATTAATCAGAGGAAGCCTCTAGCATCTAGTTGTATTGTTACTGAACTAACTCTAACTGACGATGTTTTGTAACAGATTAGGGAAACTATCATTAAACGTACATAGTATAACATATGAATTCTATCCCGCTTAGTGGCTGTTTCACAAATGAATACAATGATTTAACGTTTTTAAAATGAAATCTTTCAAATCAATAACTCACAAAAATGTATTATTTCAGTATTTATATTGAGTACAGTGTTTGCGGAGGTTCCTGAAACCAGTAAAATACGACTAGGACTCGGCATACGTGAAGACTGCTCATCCTACAGCACGTGGAGTTTAATGCCATGTTAAGTTTTGATTGACTAATCGGGCAATATATTTTCTGAATCTTTCCCTCAAATGAAATCAACTAATTTCGGGTTTTTACCGAATATTGTCACTTATTTCATATGGTTGTGTCTGACGCTATCATTTGTGAATTGGTAATATACAACAACTGAACGTTTGTATTATAGAAATATACACGTCGAAAACATAATACACAAAAGTGAGAATCCGCTAAGTATCTGCCTAAACACAAGCCAATCATTTTGAAGTCATTTTATTACTTTACTGGACTGCATGTGTGGGGAGTCAGTCACAGTTGTACATCGCGTGCTATGGAGATATTCTTTGCTTGCATGTTTAGAGCCGGACTCGGCAGCATTCCACCAAAATGGCGGCTGTTTCATAATGTTCCAGTTTGGACCAGACATTTCAGCGATTGACATCATCTGCACATCTGGGTTCGATGACATGTATCAGCAAGTCAGCAAGTCTAACCACCCGATCCTTTCGTCGCCCGACGTTTCCAGACTTTTAGTGAATTGTTGGCGTTCTTTTCTTCCTTGCACCATACCAAAAATAATGTCTGGTTTCTTTAAACTCTCTAATGTACACGTGGATACGGATCGTGTGTGTGTGTGTGTGCGTGCGTGTGTTCGTGCGCGTGCGAATTAGTATATGAGTTTTTACAATTTAGGATAGATTTGCAGACGTTTGGTTTATGGCCTGACACAAAACAGTTGTTCCACTGGTAGAATGAATCCATCGTACCCTGTTTCCAGGTGGTATGGACGTCCTTGACAGTTTGCGATCTTTGACATTAAAATCCTATTCGTTAACACGAAAGTATTTTACCCATGCCTTTCAGAATACGCTTTTTATGAAGTGGAAAAATACTGTACCTAATGAAATATCCAAAACGGTGGTGGTATCATTTAAAGTAACGGGCAGTTTTAAGCCTACAGAGTTATGTCCCTTCAAATAACGATCGATCATGTTCTTCTTCGTCACTAATCATGTCCAGACGCCTTGCGTGATGTACTGCAGCAGAAATAGAAGAGAAACGTTTCAAGAATAACTGCATTATGGCATTTACGAACATTTGGCACCTAACAAATCTAAAGGATAATAAATTCGTTGCACGGATTTTCCTGAGGCCGAGACTGAAGGCCGGAGGAAATACGACTTCAAGTGGCCGTACCATCCCGTACTACCTGGCAAATAGCTGCGTAACTAAGAGTGAGTGAGTGAGTTTAGCTTTTACGCCCCTTTACTAATATATTCCAGCAATATAACGGCGGGGAAACCAGAAATGGGCTTCACACTTTGTACCCAAACTCGAACCCGGATCTTTGGTGTGACGAGCGAACGAGGATACACCCCCGTAACTAAGTGAGCGAGCGTCTATATGTAAGGTGCGCGAATGTGTATGCCTGTTAGTGTATGTGCCCGCGTACACGCGAGTGGAAGTGTGTACAAATGTGTCTATATGTGTCTGTGCTCGCATGTGTGTGCGTGCGTGTGTGCGCGCGTGCGTGCGTGCGTGCGTGTGTGTGTGTATTGAGAGAGAGAGAGTCTCGTGGGTTTGCGAGGCTGAGGCAGACCAACACAACATCCTCAACGGCGTGTGTGTTTATGTTTGAAAGTGTACAGAAGTGTAGGTGAAGGCCGACAACGGAGCTGACATCAGATGTGCTGCTGTTAACACCTACACCGACAGAGCCGGGTCCTCACGTCCATAGTCAGATGCCAGGCAGCTCAGTGTTTATTGTAAAGAGGCATATAAATTGTCATTGTCCCATGTTCACTTATCCCAGTTTCCATCGCCGCCGTTGACATGTATGCCCGATGAGTAAAACATCGTCTTACAAACTGACGAAAAATACAGCTTGGGTTTTACTTCAGTTATATGTATTGAACAGTTATATGTATCTTGGAGTCGAGTTAAGAGGCAGCTTGCAGAGTACATCTTCGACACACGTATTTGTTTACCTGTGAACACCGTACACTGATCTTGAAATTGTTTCACAGCCAAACAAGGTACAACAAGAGATTGCAACAAGAGATACTCTCTTGAAACATGTTGAAGCTTGTTCGCCACCAGCCACTTCGTATCATTCATGGAAGGTGGAAACACAATTAAAGATAAGAACGAAATGCTGTTTACTAGGCAAGTTTGCTTTAGTTTGCTTATTGGCCCCTCGCATTCATTTAGATAGATATTGAATATGGAAGACTTTTGAATTCACCAACTACTGTCAGTACGTCTTCATACCTCAAGAGCGGTGGGGCAGCCTAGTGGTTAAAGCGTTCGCTCGTTACGCCAAAGGCCTGAGTTCTGATTCCCACATGGGTACAATGTGGAAAGCCCATTTTCTGGTGATAGTGCGGAAATATGGCGTAAAGTGGCGTAAAACCTAACTCACTCACCTTCACGAGACAATCTCAGTCCCTGTGTTAGTCTTCAGTTCGTATGATTTTCGTACAAGATACAAATCTGAGTGCATGTTTGAATTCTCTGCGTTGATGTACTTCACTGTACTTTGTTCCCAAAACTTAAATGCCACAGAATCAATTCAAAACAACTTCAAAACAGTTCCTTCTATATTTTTCAGATTGTTTTACATTTGTAATCTTTGCCTTTTCTTTTCCGATTATATTGGAAACTGAATAATTTTTATGTCATTGTCTCTTCAAACTACCATCAAGTAACATTTGATACAAACACTAAAGGAAACCAATCACAGACAAGCCTATCAGTAATAAGAAACACAATTCTCTGTCAGATGTGGGAGTACCATCAGTAACTCCAGCTGCCACACAGACCAGGAAGGAAGGCGAGAGCTTGTCTCTCACATGCTCAGTTGATGGTAATCCTGACAATGCCGTCATCTCCTGGACATTCAATGGTTCCCCATACCAGGAAGTAGTGTGATGAAAGCTGACCTGAACAGATCTGATGACGGGGAGTACACCTGTACTGGGAGAGTCAACACAGGCAGTGTGTGTGTCCCTGGTGGTGGTCTGGAGGGGAGGTCAACTGTCAAGGTCATTGTCAGCTGTGAGTACAGATAGTGTCTGATTCTATCACATAAGCTACAGAAACATGGATGTTTACTGGGGAGGTCAACTGTCAAGGTCATTGTCAACTGTGAGGACAGATAGTGTTTGATTCTATCACATAAGCTACACAAACATGGATGTTTACTGGGAGGTCAACATGTCCAACTTTACTGCATACACTGCCAACAACACAGAATGGTGCTACAGAGAGCTCCGCTGGACACACACCCAACTCTACAAACACTCCTAAGCCCACTATATAACACCCAAACCTTCAAAGCCTTAGGTATATTTCTAATCTAAACTAGCCTTTTGGTCGCATATAATCTCACATGTCCAACTAGGGCCAGCAAAAAACAAACTCACAAAATACACCCAACCAAACCACATAACGTGAAAGGACACAAACTAAACAAAACAAAACCAGCATACAAAAACAACAAAAGCATACCAACCAAACCTCCCTGTAGTTCAGATAGACCTACCACCTTTGTCAAAATTCCAAATTATAAATTCATACAAATTAAATTACGGAACCTTAACCATCTTCAGGTTGCCATATCTTTCGGTGAAATCACCCCTCCACGAAATGGCCTGGCGAAATCCTGTGTGAAATCCCGTGTTCAAATCATCACCATGTAACACCATGTATCTTCTGTACACCCTTTAATACTCATAGTTGTTTTCGGATCCCTGACCTTATATGCATTCAAAATCAATGCTTTCAAAATGTATATATGCCGCTTTTAAAGTAGTGTATTGACCGTTCAGAGCGTATTTTTAGGCAATGCATGTTCTTTGGAATGTAACCATATGTTTTATCTAGGCATGGTGGGAGAGGCACCAGGAGATATAATGATCTAACTGTTGCACCTGACATCACCTTCAAACCCGTGGACATCACAGAGGGACAGACACTGACAGTGTGAAGCCAGATGTCGTCCCTGCCTCATACACCTTTGGTAGTTTCATTCAGTACTGAGGAAATACTTCAGTTGACACCTGAGCTGGAACACTAACTGGAGGTGTCTACACATGGAGTGTTGGTGCTGCCACCTACCTGGACACAGGAGTGTATGTGTGTAGAGTGGACGGACAACTCCGTCACAGACAGGAATGATGTGTTAGTACAGAGGAAGAGAGTCAGTGTCAATGTTAGAGGTAGGTGTACTTTGTGTATGAGAGTAGAGTGGACAACACTGTCACAGACAGGAATAATGTGTTGGTACAGAGGAAGAGAGTGAGTGTTAGGAGGTAGGTGTACTTTGTGTATGAAGGTAGATTGGACAACTCCGTCACATACAGGAATGATGTGTCAGTACAGAGGAAGAGAGTCAGTGTCAATGTTAGAGGTAGGTGTACTTTGTGTATGAGAGTAGAGTGGACAACACTGTCACAGACAGGAATAATGTGGTAGGACAGAGGATGAGAGCCAGTGTGTTAGAGGTAGGTGTACTTTTGTATGAGTGTAGATGGGACAACTCCTGTCACAGACAGGAATGATGTGTTAGTACAAAGGAAGAGAGTCAGTGTCAATGTTATAGGTAGGTGTTTCATGTGTATGAGTGTACAAGGGATAACACTGTCACAGACAGGAATGATGTGTTAGTACAGAGGAAGAGAGTGAGTGTTAGAGGTAGGAGTACTTTGTGTATGAGTGTAGATTGGATAACTCCGTCACATACAGGAATGATGTGTTAGTATAGAGGAAGAGAGTCAGTGTCAGTGTAAGAGGTAAATGTACTTTGTGTATTAGTGTAAATTGGACAACACCACCACAGACAGGAATGATGTGTTAGTACAGAGGAAGAGAGTCAGTGTCAGTGTTAGAGGTAGGTGTATTTTGTGTATAAGTGTAGAGTAGACAACACTGTCACAGACAGGAATGATGTGTTAGTACAGAGGAAGAGAGTCAGTGTTAGAGGTAGGTGTACTTTTGTGTATGAGTGTAGGGTGAACAAGACAGTCACTGACACTGACAGGAACGATGTGTTAGTACAGAGGAAGAGAGTCAGTGTCAGTGTTAGAGGTAGGTGTATTTTGTGTATAAGTGTAGAGTAGACAACACTGTCACAGACAGGAATGATGATGTGTTAGTACAGAGGAAGAGAGTCAGTCAGTTAGAGGTAGGTGTACTTTGTGTATGAGTGAAGATTGGACAACACCGTCACAGACAGGAATGATGTGTTAGTACAGAGGAAGAGAGTCAGTGTTATAGGTAGGTGTACATTGTGTATGAGTGTAGAGTAGACAACACTGTCACAGACAGGAACGATGTGTTAGTACAGAGGAAGAGAGTCAGTGTCAATGTTAGAGGTAGGTGTATTTTGTGTATGAGTGTAGAGTAGACAACACTGTCACAGACAGGAATGATGTGTTAGTACAGAGGAAGAGAGTCAATGTTAGAGGTAGGTGTACATTTGTGTATGAGTGTAGAGTAGACAACACTGTCACAGACAGGGATAATATAGTAGTAGTACAGAGGAATAGAATCAGTGTGTGTTAAGGGTAAGCGTGCTTTATATATGAGTGTAGAGAAACACACAGTGGGACCTGCTACATGTCACGAGAAACAATCAATCAAACATGCAGTGTGTAATTATTATACTAAAGGTAAGATGATAACGACGACACAAAGAGGTGTTATGTTATGTATAAGGCATCTGATACATAAACATGATATAAACTTCCAAGCTCGTCCGAAGTTTACTGAAGATTCCAAACAAATATTCGGTGCTGAAGTAGGAACAAACACAACATTGGTTCAGAATTTCTGCAACAGTGAGGTGAACTACACATCATACAACTGGACATTTGGACCACTGGACACCCCGTCAACAGGTCAGGTTCAGTCAGGTCAAGGAAGGTGACACTGAGGAAGAACAACAAGGAGGTGCAACATGCCGGCTTCAGTGTCTCTCTGGACATCAAGAACTTCCAAGAACAGGACATCGGAGTCTACACAGTCACTGTGTGTAATGTAGTTGGCTGTAACTCATCAGAGGTCAGCTTGACAGCAGCAGGTAGTTTAAAAAAACAAACGTTTGTCTTTTTAAATTCATTATCAGCAAAATTTGTACATATGTCATTTTACAACATAACATATCGGGTTTGAATTTAGTTTCCTTGAAATAAGTCAGAGGAGGTTTTCCGTTTTCAGGTCTACATTTCTTGTTTGCAGAATGGCAGAAGTGCGGCTCCACCCAACAAACACTTCCTTATTGGTGAAAATTGTCCGAATGGCGGGTGCTATCCTTTCCTCCAAGACCTGGTGTCATCACTCTGTTAAGTGGCAACTTTCAAATTTCACACAAGAAATCTACACTTACAAGAATACAGTGTGATACAAATATATACCAACTATAGTTAAACACTTAACAAGTATATGAAAATTGAACTAGGTTTGCAAATCAGTACAAATTACTGCAGTATAATGTATTGGCAAAGCGCATTAGAATAACAGTTCAGCATTCAGGAGAATTTCAATGGTTTTATAAGATGCAATAGCAGTAATATTCACCTTGTAGTAACAGTAGTTAAGCTTCCAAAACGTGTCTTGGTTCTATATCTAGTGACAAGACACTGCATTTTTTACAAGTGGTGGTTTCTCTTGATTTAATGAGAGAAGAGAGATTAATGCGGTGATCAACAAGATAATGTAACTAAAAGCATCAACATGTCCATAATACTGCTTATATAAGTTACGTAATTAGTATAAGTGAGTATTTTTCAAATATGATGTCATAAAGTTCCATCGAATCTCTTTTCATTTCTGTTTCATTTTTATTGTATAAATTGTTTTCGTCACGATATGGCTGGGATATTGCCGATGTGACGTTAAATATTGACTCACTCCACTCACTCTATCAAATCTTACGTGAAACAACGTAATAGAATTACCTCACTGTAATGCATTACATCCCTATTTATATATCATATATTTTGCAATTTAGGCCCAGTGGGAACTGTTTCAGTGGATAATAGAAGCTGGTTATCTTTCTGGTGTTGAATTTGTATCTTTCACTCAAAATAAAGACTATTGATAATGTCACTGGTCAGAAATGTACACTGTGATATACATTTACACAGACAGTGTAAATATTTTTGTAAATCAAGCTTTTATACATAATTGGAAATTCCCAAAAAGTAAAAAAACAGACATCATGTTCCAGATGAAAGTATTTTTCATTTTAAGTTTTAGCTTGAAATGGTTCAATGCGACTTGGTCATGATGGGGCTGACGTCTGAGCCTCCAGCCAGGAACTAGATATGAGTTCAAGGTGAAGGCCAGGAACACCAGGATCAGAACAACGAGGGGCCGTTCACACGGGTCGAGTCACAGGACACAAAATGTAAGTATAATACATAAAACAGAATAGTTTATGAGGGTTGGAAATATATGCATATGCCTACAGTCACAGTAGTACTTGTAACATAGTAAACCTAGACAAGTATAGTGACCACATGTTGCCTAAATGTGCATTTAAACATTAGTACCAGGGGTGGGGTGTTCTTGTGGCAAGATACTATATCACGTATCAAACGTCTCTAAAATAGATTAATTATCATTCTGATGTCATTGCAACGAAATGAGAGAAAATTAACGTACACTTTCATGTTGTGTAGCTGCTCCAAACCAGACAGATGCCTCAGAGTCATCACTTGGAGGTGGACTTGGTGTGGGGCTAGGGATATGCATCATCATTATCATAGTGTTGGTGGCAGCGCTGTTCTATCGTAGAAGACCTCACCTATTGTCAACACGTGATCGAGGTAATGTGGACAATGATGGAGGCTTTCTGCGGTTTCTCCGATGTCTTCCATCAGTTAAACATTACAACAAGGGATAGGCAAGTAAATCCAAGATGATATGTTTGTAGCATTCCTGAAGGACGCAGCCCTGCCTAGCAAATTGCTGCGCCGTATTTTTTCACAGATAGTGCAACGCCTGTGCTTCAGAAGGATAGTTGAGTGCATTAGTCATAGGATGGCGTTATCTGATAAATGTATCTAATCATATATTAAAACATTTAATGTAAACTATATAGATGTTATTACCTGCCGAGTTTAAGAGGTTCAATACGTAAACTGTATTAATGTGCTTGAAGGATGCTTTTGGTGATTCCACTGTGATGAGATGCATTATTTACTACAGGTAAAACTGTTGCTCAGATCCAAGAGTGGTAAGTTGTCCAAAGCACTTTGTAATAGGGTGGAATTATTTTGTATATATGTAGCTCTTTTACAGAAAAAGCAAAGAACACTTTTATGCAAAGATTTTATCGATTCAAGGCATTCTTCTCATGCTCTCTAATCAAGGCAAACAACAATCAAAATCAATTGTTCGATAGAAAGGTTTCTTTTATATCGATGTTTGTATTGTTCTCTCAGAGACACGGGGAGCGAACAATTGATAATAATGAAAACTCAGGTAATACATATATTCTGGTATTTGATTTGATCTTGTACAGTAAACAGTTCAATAGGTAGCACAGAATACAGTATCATATCAAATATCTAGAAAACCCGGAAGATATAAAGGAAGTGATTTGTATGATCTTCAATAACATGCTGCTATGCAAGGTCAAAATTAAGAGCCTTCACTGTAAAAGAACCTTACAATTCCATAAGCAATCACTCAATTTAGATTTGGTATCCGGATATTCCATACACAACATTCTACTAATATATTTTAAATAAACCCGAGGCTGTCCTGAACAAAGTATTGTTTTGTGAAGGGGTCCTTCATATAGTTCCTCAGTATAAGCCCGCTGCTCTTACAAACATTTTGTATTCTGTCTGCAACACTTCAGATATCCAGGACCTTAGTCAGTATGCCTGGTTTGAGGAGTGTGTCTCACAGCCATATTCCCAGTTGAAGATCTATGAAAACACAAAAGGTGAGTTAATGACTTACATGAATAATTTTTGACTTGTCAAGTGTCAATAAGCAATGATAGATCAGTTCTAACCTGGTTTTGAAATAGACATGTCTGTATGTTGGAGACCAGTATTATCGTTGAGTACAAACCAGCTGATAGCAATCAAATTCTCCAGGAAACATACAATATATGCATATATGGTAAATGTTGTGAATGGCAGGTGCTGTCGGTAGGGCAGGACATGATTCCCTATTCGCCTGGTGTCATCGCGTGTTTTCAGTATCGTCAATACTGGGTAGTCTTTTGCACTGACGTTCTATATTTCAAACGGTATAGCTGCACAATCGTCTTTATGTATGTAGAAGGTGATAAAGTATATGGACTCTTCATGTTACAAAGGTCGTGTGACACATGAGCCGGAGTATGAAGGTCTACAGGAAAGGTCGCCAGCCACCTACGAAACTGTGGCGTTACATACGTACGAAAACATTGACAGGAAAGTAAAAGGTGAAACATTTATTCCAATCTACTTTCTGTGAACCTGTGATTTATAACCTGTGAACATTAGTCTCCCGTCCTTGTTGAAAGTGTTCTGTTGTTGGCATAACGTGCAGCTGGACCCATTATATTAATTGTTCCAGATCCGACGTACGCCAATGTGCAATCAACAAGATGAAACAAACTGAATAAGGCAAGCAAAGATGAAAGGATAACTTTGCAGACAGTGTTCACTTAAGTCAGGCGTCCATATATTACATCATTAGCACGTTTTAATATTTCTCCTGAAATCATCTTCAGGAACTGAAGTCTCTCTTGAAACATCTCTCTGAGTACAACCCGTTACACACAGATTATGATCCACTACAATATTGCAACTTTGTGTGCATACTTTCTCATAGGATTTGATTCAGAAACATGTTGTTGTACAAAGTGCTTTGGTACAAACTTTAAAGAATGGAGAATATTGTTCCAAACAGACTTCAATGTACATGTATTCCATATATATTGTATAGACCTCCATATACAATCACTAGATTAAGGACAACAACAGTGATATTGGTATGTGGGGCATTATTTGCCAAGTCTCTTCCTGGGTGAAGCTGCTTCCCAATATTCCTTGTTTCAAGTTAAGAGAACACATTACTGAGTGAATGAGTGATTTTAGTTTTAAGCCACACTCAGCAATATTTCAGCTATATGGCGTAGAACACATTGCTGAATACAAGGCATATAGCGTCAATCAAACTTTCTATATTTTCAAGTTTGAATTACCGTAAATGCCTAGTGGAAACATACACATTGATTTACATGGTGCAATTAGAACTACACATGTACATATTTTCGCACTGCGTCCCCAAAGTATAGGTTTATTCGCGGTGTATAAATCTTCGCGCTAAAATGTTTTGCGCGAAAGCGCGAAAAATAAAACCTGCGCGAAAATATAATACGTTTACAGTATCTTAGCAATATCATCAGCTATAAACTGATGAAATCATTACACACACAGCGTATCAAAGAAACATGATTTATTACCACATGAATCAGTAAAGAACTCAAGCCGAATGATATGTAATGAAGATGTACAGTTATTGTACTCTGCAAATAACACACAGACACACACACACAGACACACACACAAACACACAGACATACCAAAGGATTAAGTTTAATGTAAAACTCCGTTCCTGCTGTATTGTTTACACATATATTCTGTCGTTTTGTGCATGCTGAATCTCATTTTGCTACTTTACACCAACCAAGTAACTGTTTGTAGGGTCTGCGTACGTCGTGAATTATTATTTCAAATCCTTTTGAAAGAATGTACACATCAATCAAACTGGCACAGGTTTTAACGTCGGTAAAACTTTCGTGTAAGTGTTGTAAAACATGAGCAGGTGTTGTTTACCTCCAGGAGATAGGTAATACATAACAATACATTGATAGGTCAAAATCTATCCCCAGAATAGCATAATGTCACTGTAGGTTAAAAAACAAACGAAAAGAATCAGTGGAATTGATATTCAGTTGAATGGCACCATCCGTTGAAGTATATCCTTTACATAAAGGAATAACGGTGCTTTTGGTTTTGGACCTAGCCCCGTCAAACACCTATGTTGTCGTGTGTGTGGATGATCCGACTCAAGGCTTAAACTGACGGATCTTCGAGTGCATAGCTGTAATTTAACATTCAGTCAAAGCAGGGGTAATGTCTGTTACCACATTTACTCCCCGAACCTGTTTCAGGAATGATGATATTACATCTACACTGGATCATTGACCAGTATCAGTAGTTTATTTACTTGAACATGAATTCATTGCTTGAATTTATTTTGATTGAGGACCTTGACATACGATTCCGTTTATATCAGTTCATGCTCCTTAGCTTCAAGGTAATTTTAGATACCGGCACAAAGGACGGACAGGTCAACGTGGGACTGTTATCTTATAATAGTTGCATGTCGTCAGGGCGCCAACTGTGCCAGACCCTGATGTTTTCCTTTGCTGACTTTAGTGTCACTATTTACATATTACTTATAAAATATGTAAATCTGTCTAGACATTTGTAAACGTATACACGGGAGAGTAGCTGCATGACTTCTTATCAACCAAGCCATGTTCATGCATTTTTCAGTCTTCTTGATGACAACTGTAAATAACAGGGTATCATGCGCCACATATTGGTGTCTTACAGGTGTGTGTTAGTGTTTGACGAGGATGACTTACTCCTCTAGTTATAGGAAGGGGTAGCCGGAGTGGTGTGGCACAAATACGAAAGGGAAATTGTCTTTGCCAGGAGCTTGACATACCTCTCAAATGGAGCATGTAAATACCACCCTCACACACCATACACCCACGCACACGATACAATGGATCTATTTCTCAGTAATGTGGCACTTTGTACCCCTTTTTGAGTTATCTCATCCCATAATATATGCATTGTGTATTTTGGGCTTCTTATGAGATTTGATCCTAAGAGGCATTGATCTGACCCCCGAAGGAGCGCTTTGATCCTGAGCGACATTTGATCCCAGGAACTATACCAGTCAAGTCAAAAGTCAAAAGATGTTTATTGTATGAAAGGCCTCCAGCCCATAAACATGAGAGTTACAGTGATAAAGGAATGTTCTGGATATTTACATATATATTTAAGGGTATACAATTCGCTTTATAAGAAGATCTCTTTTAGCTAATGCATATTTTATATATAAGGACAATTGAGCAAGAATAGTTTCATTATTGGTTTGTGTAACAAAGATATATATGCATAATGGGGCTGCTTTGCAAGAAGATGGTGCGGTATATATTTCTGTCTTAATTCGTGATAACAAGGACATATCAGGGTAAAATGAATTACATAAAGGACAGTATCGATTTTCTTTCTGGACAGAGGTTTTTCTACCCTCATTAATCATTAAAGATAACAAACCTAAACGATACTTTACGAACATTGTTCTCAAACTATATGTTGTAATTATTGATAAGTATTTTTCTGGCTGGAGTAACGTTTTAAAGTTGAGTTGAGTTGAGTTGAGTTGAGCTTTACGTCACATCGTCATTTTCCAGCCATATAGTGACGAGAACAAGTTTGCATTAGTAAATATTGTAAGTACATACTCGGAATGAGTTTTTTTCAAAGACATTTATTTATTGCATTGTCATTCGAAAGCAGAAAAAATCATAGCATCAAATTTATAGGCAGGCGGTTTGTTACATTTCATAGTTACAATTTATGGTTGTTACATTTCACAGTTACAGTTTATGATACAGATCAACTTCCCTCAGGTAGTTCAGTATCAGATGGGCGCTCACGCGTGAGAACAGATCTTTTAGGTTTGTTGCATCATAATGTGAGTCCCTGCCGCAGGCGATAAGTCCACGCATTCAAGCAGAATATGCTTGACGGTGAACACCTCATCGCAAGAGACACACATGGGGGGTCCATCCCCATCCGTTTTCAGCAGATAGTCATGTGTAAATCGACTGTGGCCAATACGACATCGTCGTAAAATTACCTCATCGCGTCTTGACTGACAACCCAAGTAGGTATAACCGATTGTTGGCTTCAATTCATGGAGTTTGTTTCTTCCTACTTGAGTGTCCCACCTTTTTTGCATCAGGTCCCGAGTATAGCTTTTGATAGTGGGTTTGAAGTCACTGTACGGGATTAGCAGTGGAGATAGGGGCTTTTCGAGAGCTGCTTTTGCTGCAGCATCGGCCTTAGTGTTACCTGCTATGCCGACGTGACCCGGCAACCAGCAGAGGATGATGTCATATTGGCTAGTAGAAAGGTCGTTGTACAGTTCTAATAAGTCCAGGATGATTGGGTGACTTGAAGTCACGTTTAGAAGTGCTTGAAGGCAGGATAATGAATCTGTAAATATGATGAAGTTTTTGGACTGATTTTGCTGTTGAATGTAGGTCAAAGCTGAGAAGATAGCTTTGGCTTCAGCGGTGAAAATGGAACTGTTGTCGGGGATCCTAGAGGAGACAGTCTTGGCTCCAATGACTGTAGCGCTGGCAACTTGGCCATCGTCCTTGGATCCGTCTGTGAAAATGGATCTGTGAGTGTTATACTTCGAACGTAACTGGTTGTATTCCTGTTGGAACACCAAGGGATTTGTTTCAGACTTTTTGAGTTTGGTGAGGGTAAGATCGACCTGTGGTTTCACCATTTGCCATGGTGGTGGGGACAGAAGTCGGTATGGTGCAATGATGTCGAGATCAATTTTAGCTGCAGATATGTGTGGTTTGATCCTGATTCCAAGTGGTGGAACCAGGCTTGGCAGTTTAGGAAATAAGTTTTTGATAGAGCGGGTTGAAAACACAATTGTATGCTGGATTGGGCTCATTTGAACGTAATTTAGTGATATACTGCAGTGAGAGTTTAATGCGGCGTTGTTCAAGGGAAGGTTCATTGGCCTCTGCATATAGACTGTCTACCGGAGAGGTCCTAAAAGCTCCCAGGCAGAGCCTCAGTCCTTGATGGTGGATAGAGTCTAATTTTTTTCTAAATTGCTTTTGCAGGCTCCACCGTAGACAATGGAGCCATAATCTAGTTTACTGCGGACTAATGATCTGTACAAGTGAAGGAGGGTGGTCTGATCCCTCCCCACTCTGTATTTGAAACTACTTTTAGCAGGTCTAAAGCCTTCAAGCACTTTGTTTTCAAATATGTTATGTGTGGTAAGAATGTCAGGTGGCGGTCGAATATGAGTCCAAGGAATTTGGCCTCTTCTACTACTGTGATGGGAGTACCATCTAAAGTTAGGTCTGGATCCTTATGTGTGGTTTGTATTTACGACAAAAGTGAATACAATTTGTTTTGGATTTTGAAAACCTAAAACCATTTTCATTGGCCCATTTTGGATTTTGTTAAGGCAGAGTTGTAGCTGCCTTTCTATTGCGATGCATGTTCTTACCACGACATGAAATATTGAAGTCATCGACGAAAAGCGACCCATCAACGCAACTGTTCAGAACGTTAGTGAGGCTGTTAATTTTGATGCTAAAAAGTGTGACAGACAGGATGCTGCCTTGGGGGACGCCCTGATCTTGGTGGAAGTAGTCAGACAGTGTGGAACCCACCCGAACTTGGAATTGTCTGTTATTTAGAAACCGAGATATGAATTGCGGTAGTCTACCCCTCAATCCAAACTCGTGTAAATCTTTTAGGATACCATGTTTCCATGTTGTATCATATGCTTTTTCTAAGTCGAAAAAGATAGATACTGCATGTTGTTTGTTGACAATGGAGTTTTTGATGAATGCTTCCAGACGCACCAGATGGTCAATGGTACTTCGGTTTTTTCGGAAACCATTGGAGGACACTGAGGAGGTTATTGGTCTCAAATTACCAGATTAATCGATTGTTGACCATGCGCTCCATGGTTTTGCAAACGCAGCTAGTTAGTGATATAGGACGGTAGTTTGAGGGATCAGTATGGTCGCGACCGGGTTTTAGTATAGGGATGATGATGGCATTGTGCCACGAAGGGAAGTGTCCGGATGTCCAGATGTCATCAAATATATTTAGGAGTGTTTCCAAGCCTATGTCAGGGAGGTGTTTCAGAAGCTGATAATGGATTTCATCAGCTCCTGCCGCAGTGTCGTGAGCCTGTCCTAGGGCAGTACGTAATTCATGGAGGGAAAACGTTTCGTTGTAATCCTCCCATTATCAGAGTTAGAATTGACTGGTTTCTTTTCTTGTTGGGTTTGATATTTCTGGAACAGAGGGTTATAATTTGATGAGGAGGAGTGGTTTGCCAAAGTTTCGCCAAGTTTATTTTGCAATTTCAGATTTATTTGTTAGAAGGAGTCACCATCTTTCAGGTGGTGAACTCCTGATTTTGACCTTGCCCTTGATCTTTTGAATCATGTTCAACACCTTGGACATGGGTGTGCGGGAGTTGATTTTGGACACATATTTCCTCCATGAGCGGCGTTTAGTTTGTTTTGAAGGTACGTTTTGCCCTGGCATTTGTCATTTTAACAGCATTCAGGTTATGCACTGTAGGATGTTGTCGGAAATATTTTTCCGCCTTCTTTCTATTTTTCCTAGCTTGTTTGCAGTTTGTATCAAACCATGGTTTGCGTATGTGCGGGTTTGCAGAGGACTTAGGAATAGTTTTGTCTCCGATGGCATTTAGGACGTCTGAAAATAGTTCCATGGGGTCAGGAACATTCCTGAAGTTGTCCGGCTTAAGTTTTTCTGAACATAGGGTTTGGAATAAAGGCCAATTGGCCTTAGTAAAATTCCATCTTGTTGATGGTGGTTCATCCGTGGGGTTCATAGGAGTAAGAATTGTTTGGAAGTGGTCGCTTCCACAAAGGTCGTCATGGACCGACCATTCAAACTCATTAAAGGTCCTGTAACATTCATATCGTGATTCTTGATTGAACATATCTATTGATCTAACACGAAATTCATTAATAAACCAGTTCACATCGCCAATTGTTTGGCACAACCATACGAAACCTGAAACCGTGGAGAAAATAATAATTTTCTGATATCAGTTACCAAGTGTGTTTTCCCAAATTATCCAGATTTAAAAGCATATTGTAAGCTAATTTTGGCAGACGTTGTTCGTGCATATTTAGAACCTTAAACCAATATTTTAAACATCGTATTTGAGAATTGATATACAAAGGAAATCTGCCACATTCGCCATATACCATGCAGTTAGGTGTCTTTGAGCTTACATTGAGTTACTTTTTACAGGCTAAAAAAGATGTACTCTCTCGAATCAATCAAAACGCTGAAAACCCCATATTTCAGATCCATATAATAAAATGGGTTGAATCTGAGAATTATATATCTTAAAACAAAATTGGGTGACATAGTTCCAACTTTGTATAAAACCGATAAAACTTGTATTAAAGCCTTTTTCCACGTAAAGAGTTAAGTTATGTGCACATTTATTCAAGTTCATTATGTTTTGAAACAAAACCCTTAGTAAGAATATTGATCGGATACATTAATCAACTGACCATCATAAAACCAGCGTTCGTTTGTGGCCACGGGACCGCCCCTCCTAAATATCACAATTTCTGTTTTGCTTAAATTTACTGCTAACTTCCATTCTTTAGTATAACTTTCTAAGATATTTAATTGATTTTGTAAAACCGATCACAGTATCGAAACTAAAATAACGTCGTCAGCAAAAAGGAGCATTAGGACTTCTACAAGATCTGGGTACATTTGGATTCCATATTTTCCAGCTAAATTGACATCGTGATATAATTCACTGATGAAGAAGGAAAACAGGAGTGGACTTAAGCAGCAACCTTGTCTTAAACCAAGTCGGCAATCGAAAAATCTGTAACCCCGTCTTTTGCAACGCACACAAGATCGAACGTCAAGAATACATTGATTTGAGAATGCTAACAATTTTCCCTCGTAAACCTGCCTTGCGTAAACAATGCCATAATTTAAAACGACTGACTGGAGTCAGATGCCTTTTTAAAATCTACAAATGCTATGTACAACTTATGTTTTCTTTTTGATAGTGATTTTTTGGACTAGTGCATACAGAGTAAATATAAGATCAGTTGTAGAATATCCCTTTCTAAATCCTGCCTGGGATTCAGGAATCTTATCACGCATATTCGCCCAGTTTGATAGTCTATTGTTCAATATCAACGTAAATGCACTTCCCCAAGATACTCATTAATGATATACCCCGATAATTATCTGGATCGTTTCTGTCGCCCTTTTATGAAGTGGATTTATCATAGAGCTTGACCAACTGCAGGGAAAAAGTCCATGTTCAAACAGCTTATTGAAACATTTCGTAAGGAGCGGCATAATTTCGAATTTAACACACTTTATCGTTTCTATTATGATAAAGTCAGGTCCAGCAGCCTTCCCTTATTAAGATGATTTATCGCTTCTAATATTTCCTGTTCAGCAATAGGACTATAGTAATAGTAGTACAAGTTGATCTACTTCTGTATTGGAATCTACAGAGTTAATTTCATCGTCGAATGTTGAGTCTAATATCTCACCGTTTGAATATACATCTTTGAAATGATTTAACCATTGAGTTTTAGTTATGCTATTTCCGGACGTATTTCTTTTTGTAAATGGCGGATACTTTTCCGAAATGCAGATGGGCGAGTCACTAGGATCAGATCACTCTGGAAGATTGATAGAACTTACAAGGTATACAAACGAATATAAGCTTGTCATGATCTTAACTGAAGATCTTTTTACACATACCCAAACCAGAGAGAAGATACTCAGTTGAGAGTTGGATGAAGTTTTACCATGCTCCCACCAGATGTTTGCCTTTAGATTTTCATCTTTGTCAAGCACATACAACCGGATGCATTGTCAGTGGATATCACGTGGTACATATACTGCTAACATGGTGAAGCGTCATATTGGTTGACATTGGGCAAGATTTGAGCTTACCCAAAAGCGGTTTTTTGAGCGAGTTGTTTGAATATTCGTGGACACTGGTATACAGACACAACAGTGCTTATAAAGTTCATATAAAGTTCAATACAAATGAATCTATTTTACATTTTAAGTAACGCATATATCAATACAAATTCATAAGGACATCTACCTATTTTGAGGTTGTGATTACCAATTTTCACGTCCATGTTCGTTCAATGCATTCACAGTACGTATGTTTGCGTGACAGTAACTATCACAAGGTTTTTCAATTGTGCACATATTGGTTGTTTAGCAGGTCACAGGATCATAAACACTATTTTGCTTAACCATGAACAAAGCTTGAGCAAAGCAACAATTTTACAATTAACCTCCACGCAATCAGTGAGTGCGGGTGTGGGTTTAGTTTTACGCCGCTTTTATCTATATTCACCAGAAATAATCTTCACACATGTGGGGAAAGAACCTGGGTCTTCGGGGTGACGTGATGAGGTATAGAGGAATACATTAGGAACAACATCCTCTAGGCTGTTTATGATGTCTTAATGCACTTGAGAATTTTATTAGCAAATGTGCTCTGATACAGCATTGATCCTGGGTATAGTGGTAATTAAAATAAGCCTCGGACATTTTTAAGCTCATATTTTTGTTTTCATGTTTCAATCCGTCTGTAATGTCCCCACAAGAATCACTTCACAGAAACCGCATCTATGTTGTTTTGCCAGTTACATTTTCCAAGCTTCTTTGTGAAACTAACTCTGATGACATCTGATCCTGTATTCCATTGTAAATTCAAAGTAATGATTATGAAACAAACAGTGTAAAGGTATCAATATTCTTCAGCAAGCAAGCGTTGAAAATGACATTTACGGGTTATTGTTGTAAATGCAGATGATATCTATGTTTAATGTGAATTTGGTCAATAAATATTTACTAAAATGAAACCTTTCAGTCAAACTTTATTCATGGTACAATATCCATGTCCTCTGTTTCAAGGCAAGATCTCCATTGAAGCTGGTATTCAGCGAATATTGTCTCATATGTTACGCAAGGTACACTGGGCGATACTGCAATATTCAAGTGGTCGTGTATATAACCTCAAGATCAGACATATTTTCAGTCGTGGATGGAATGACAAACAGATCGATGAAAGGCATGACGCAGACACACTGAGAATCTTCATCATGGCGGATCTTAAACTACCGAGCCTTTGACCCTGTGTTACCATTGTTTTCTCTGGTTTTATCTGATAGGGTTACCATCACCATCAATGTAGCAGCTGTGTATTCAGCTCCCTGCTAGCTTTACTATATGTTGAACTTCATTTGACCATAACCATGGTATGAATGCCAAGACTGACAAAGAATGTAAAACAATACACACACATATTATAGAAACTACTTGTTATCCTGTAATCTACCAGATAGGATCGACTCGAGGTACATGTATAATCGGCTGCTCAGATCGATCGTTCAGAAGTTCAAACGATATTTAACTTTTGGAACGGTTTTTCAAGCTGAGAAAAGATCACAGACCAAAACGAAAGCAGCATATTGGTGGATGCAGATACTACGGGGATGAGATGTCTCGTACATTTTGGATGTTACTGCTCAATGTGGTGTGCTCAAAATATCACCGTGACAATTCAGGTACATAAACGACAATCTTCCTGATGTTGATTCATGCTCATGATCATCACTTGATTGTCTGGTCTAGACTCCATTATGTATTGCTTGAGTATGGGTTCAACAATAAACAAATAATGCTACTACTACTTCTACTACTACTACTACATTTACTACTACTACTACTATTACTATTACTACTACTACTGCTACTACTACTTCTACTAGGTACTACTGCTGCTGCTGCTACTACTACTATCATTAGCAGCAAATGCTGCTACTACTATCATCACACTACTGATTCAATAGCCCGAAGGGTTGGATGTGTTCTTAAATCCCTGTCGGAAATTGAAAGAGTACGTTTAACCAATGTTATGCGATTTGGACATTAATCCTAATGACAAACAAGTTCGTTGTTAATGAGTAACGATATCTCTTATCCAAAATACATTTATCAATCCTGTTGTACATGTATTCCCGGGAAGATAGCATCCCCTGATGTCAATCAGTCGACAGACAGCTCTGTTACAGCGAGCGTTGGGTTTTTAGAAATATTCCGGCAATTTCACGGCGGGGACAACAGAAATCGGCTTTACACATTCTATCCATGTCGGGATGGAACCCGTGCCTTCAACAGCAAGACTACGCCACTGCCCTCTTACATGTTTCGTTTCGAACTGGACGGTTATCAGGTGTGAATAAAATTATGAGTCTCTGCTACTAATCACCGTTTCTCTTGAATGAATAAAACGTAAGGAGCCCAAACCCCTTTTCTATTTATAATAGTCCTTAGTGTATAAACATGCAGACATTGAGGATTTAGATGAATAACTCACTCACATGCATAAACCGGAGCGGCTGCGCGTCTGAGGTTGTACGGTAGCAGGGCATGCTTAAACCTTTCGTGTACACTCGATGCAATCACCTACTTTATATAATCCATTCCTATGCTATGAGTGTCATCACTTTTTTGTATTTTGTGCACAGTCTGTTTCGGCATAAAGCCGACTTGTTATGAAATGTCATTTTAACTGTTTGAGTGAGTGTGTGTGTGTCGAGTGGGGTGGGGTGAGTGGGGGTCACCCATTTGTTCTGGAGAGGTAGGTTGTACGCATGTACTGGGGGGTGTCATTAGTTTTGTACATGACATGCTGGGGGTGTCACTTACTTGGCACATAAATTTTAGGGGGTAGGGGGGCATTCTACGGTCTTCTCCATAATATTCATCAAACCCCACACACCCACCCACACACAGACACACTTGCACACCACACCCCATCCACACCCCTAGCAATAAATTATGAACGGTCCCTTATTGCAATGGGAGGGACAATGCAACAGGCGGGACCCAGCTGATAAGTAGCGCCAGTGCAGCATAACCGGGGAACCAGGCTGGCTTAGTTGTGCCCAGCAGTACTTTTTGTCGGGCACAAGATAACAGCCAGTTTAGTCAAACCATACATGTACATTCAAAGAGGCACAGAAGCTTACACGATAAAGGTGTAGTGGTGTGAGAGAAAGTGGATTGATACAAACAGACTCGACCGAAATCGTTCTATCCCAACAATCCACAGTAATAACTTCCGTTTCGAAAATGAACATATTTCTACAAGTGACTGCCGTTTTGTCTTTACAGTTTGGATTTGTGGTGGGTAGGTCACTTAAACATTCTTGAATTGAGTGGTTTATTAATTCAACGGGATCGGTGTGGTATTTGTGCTGGAGTAGTTAAAAGCGTGCGCTCGTCATGTTGGGGGCCCTGGTCCGATTCCCGACATGGGCACAATGTGTGTGAAGCCCATTTCTAGTGTCCACCGCCGTGCTATTGCGGGAATATTGCTAACAATGAGTGCTAACTCACTCACCTGGTGTATTGAAGTCTCAAGCGCTCTGGCATGTTTAACCGTGCCTGCTAAAGAAATATGTGTCCCGTGACATTAAAACTGAATGTGTATTCTTCTGCATACAAATTCAAAATTATCTTTTTTGTATTTTCCAGCCGATCGATCACTTGATTGCCTGGTTTGTTTACATGCAGCCGTCGCATGGCAAGAGCGTCAGATAAAATGAAGACTTCCAATTTTAGGCATATTTTGTGAATGGCGGCTGTTACTGGCAGGGCAGCACATACTTAACCTTTCCGCGAAAACTTGTGTCATTATTGACTTCAGTGGTATAATCATAGTATTTTCACGGCTAATTTTCCCTTTACACCAAACGGAATTTGTTTCTGAGTATAGTCAAGACTGAGTGTATTCTTTTGCACTGACGTTCTATATTTAGCTTTTTATACCTGCTTGTAAAATGGGTTTTTATTTTTAGGCCGGAGATGTACGCAATCGAAGTGCAATGACACAACGCACATTGTATCTCTGAACATTCTGATATTCATGACCATTCCTCGTTCTTCTAGCTGGTTTGCATTTCACATCTGGGTTGCGTTATTTTGGTTTGTCTAAAACTTGACGTGTGGAAAGTGAAGTAAGAGGCATTTCATCTGCACGTTTTCACCAATCGTCAATCCCATTTTATGACTTATACATGCTCCTTTATGAAACTTGGATATGCTTCGTAATTTAATGTTATTGTATGAAATTCAGAATTCAAATGTTTAGGGGAAAATACCTACTTTCGCTTGGACAGTGAAATGTTGAAATGGATCCTTTGACTTCTCTAAAATCCCTCTGAAGATATCAGAGCTACACTTTTCATGCGCCTACCAAGCCATTTTTTTCCCTGTAAACCCGATAGGCTGCTAAGCTTTATATTTAGATAGCGTAAAGGGCTTGTCCTACTTTCATGGTGATTTTTAGTAAAAGTCATGTGTAAGCCCGGGCTTTTTTTATAGTGGTAGCTACTACGCCCCTGGTTTTAAATCGATCAGCTGGCGCGTTTGCCTTATGAATATTGGTCACAATACTGCCGTCTCTGCCTAGAACAGGTGTAGGACAACGGATATGAGAATCGCCGAGAGTTTATTTTTAGACCAAGAGGAAGATAATGGAGTAAATCTATTTATACTTGGAAGATTACCACGCCAATTAGAGCGTTGGTCATGTGGATTATACGTTGGAATTCGGCACGTTTCTTCCTAAACATATCCAGTTCACATGGAATTGACAATTCCTATTGCAGGCTTGTTCTCGTGTTTTATTTGCTTTTTCTCATCCATCATACCACCAGTGAAATGAAAGTCTGGATGATTTTCCTATAGTTGTCTCCAGTAAGTTTAGAAATAACATTACCGTTTGAAACACCAACGTCTTATTAGTTTGTATGTATTATGTGTCTCATAAAGAGAAGAAAACTCCCACCAGTTTGCATGTTTAAATTTCGAACATGAGACGCGTACGTTCAAAGCTAAGCTGACTTTCAGTAATACTGGGAAGTGATCACCACCTAAAGCATTGTTTTGGAATACATCCTAGTTATATTTAGGAGCTAATGAGAGGGATATATTACAAGACTCCATGGCCTGAAAACACCCATCTCCCCAAATCCATTCTGGTCATTATACCATCATTTAAAATCACCAGGTCTATTTTCAACAACCGTTCCAGTAAAGTCTCTTTTATTGCATACAACAACACACTGTGACTATTAAAATTGTTTACATTAGGCTTTCCCGTATTGTAAACAAGAATCACTGAGATTGATTTATTTTCTTCGAAGAAAGTTCAAACTGCATTGGATTCGAAAACAGTTTTAGGTAACTTATGCCCGCTGAAGGACAAGTCTGACTTTACAAATATTGCACAGCCTGTCCCACGAGGATTTGTGGCATTTGGATTGCTCGTTATTTATTCTACTCTGGCGGAAACTGACATAACCATCTATTTCAAATATACCCTTTGACCAGATGGAATGTCTCTCACACACATTATACCTCCTGGAAGTTTATTTTTCATATCGACCAATATTCCAACAGGTCCAGCCTTTTGTGTCTACATTTCAGAACCTTTGAGGTACAATCGAACATGCAAGACTAAAAACGGCGACATACCACTCTTGCTCATTAGTTCAAGGTCACAACATTCAAGGCCCCAGTAAAGCTTTCAAAAAGTTTCATGGTGGACATGTAGAGTGCATTTCCAAATTCGATGACAAAAAATGATGTCTTTTCCAAGCTTCCATGGCAACAAGTTTCATACAATTACGACTGTGTTTACCACTGCAGAAGATGTCGAAAACATGGTCCTTCTCTTAACATAATTATGTCCTTCGGTTGTGGAAGCCATCATCAGCTTTTCATACAACAAACATCAGCACATTGAAATAATGCCCACTATTGAAAGTATATTACAGTGATTTGAGTAGAGAAAATTGGGGAAGGAATCTGATATACATATTATTCTGATAAAATGATAAATTACATAAAATCAATGTGTTTTTTCAATAGGCGCTTTTATAGGAGTCTCTTCTCATCTGTTTCAGTGCATGGACAGTCGTATGTTCTCACGTCATCCTGTGGGGGTGTAGTCACTGAGGGAAGCAGCTGTGTTTTAAATTGTGAAACTGGTTCTGCCACTGAGACACATATTATTTGGAAAAGAGGTGCAAGTGTTATTTACGAGGTGGCACGAGCAACATGTGAAACGCCAAAATCAGCATCAACTATTCCATTTGATTACGTCTTCGACTGTCCTGGAACTAGCTTTACTCTCAGTATCACATCTGCATCTGTGATACGTGACAAAACTACCTGGACATGTGATGCAGCTTTTGGTGGAAAGGATAGCTCTATTAACTTGGATGTCCCAGGTTGGTATTAAAGTATATTATAGAATATAGACTGAATATGAATGTGACATAGAATTCCTTAAGTTAAATACCTAACCTCTATTTCGTTGTAGCCACCGCCACGTTGTCCACCACCAACACCAACAATCACATCTGATTATGTTTTCGCCTTTCCTGACACGATCCTCTGACAGTTACATGTGTATCTGTGACACGTGATAGAACTACTTGGATATGTAGAGGAACACTTTTATTGGATAGACAACTTCTTTATTGCAACCTCGTCAACTGCATAAACCCATATGTCCCTCATGTATATATTCTCCTTGTGAATGATGTTGTGTATCATTTGCTTGATATCGCTGTTAGGATCAACACCGAAATGTCATCAGTTCTGGCAATAAAATAATATCGATACAGTTGTGTTGTGTTACAGATGATTATGACACAGACAAACATATATTTCTGTATCACATTGGCAATCTCATAGGGACTTTTCAAGTTCAACTATCACAGTAAAACCGTCATTCGTCTTACCAAACGTTGTTGAAGAACTGCTTTATGTTAATTTCGAATCAACTATGCAGAACGAAGCATCGCACACGTACGTTGTATTTTCACTACACAACATGCATGCTTATCATGAATTTGGTCTGTACGTCATGCAACTATGTCAATAGACCCTTTTCGCCACACCATGCACATGGTCAACAAACTGCGTTTGGAGCAGTATTTTGTATATTAAATTATAACTTGTAATCAGAGAAATACATGCCATTTGATAAAAACAACAACGTAATGGGATGAGAATACAGGATGGCACGTTAAATGATAATGTCTACAGTCATATTAAAGGCAATGCAAATCAGTTCATCCAAAACTGTAATATAATCTTTTATTCCTCCTTAGTGAAGAGTGACAGAGATTGTGAGAGTGTTTTTGTACGTGTGTGTGTGTCCTCTTCAATGATATATGTGTTATCATATATCTGATCTAGGATCTATCAACCGCGGCTCACTATAAGCAGGTGCTCGAGAAGGCTAAGGTTGTACGTAACAGAGATAGTTTGTGTCTGTACGCCTTTTATGGTCGATAACAGCGACTGTGTGTGTGTTCTTGTGTACTTGTTAGTTTTTTGTGTTCGTCCGCGTATGTGTGTGTTTGTGTCTGCATGTGTTTGCGTTCGCTTGAGTTGTGGATGTGCATGTGTGTGCTTCCAAATATATAAAGACAGTGTGTGCGTGTGTTTTGTGTGGGTGCTTGTTAAAGATAGTCAATCAGTGACTGCCACTTAGTGCAATCGTAGATCTCTTTAAACGTGTACTTATTTGTATATTTATATATCAATGCCCATGCACAACTATTTGTTGGTATACTGTAATGACGCCACGTTGCCAGCGCCTGACAGGGAACAGCAAAACTCGTGATCCAGTGAGATTTATTGTACAACTGACAACCATCCTTCACAAAACGGTAAGGAGGGCGGACCAACACACGGGTCTAGTATCACAATATATTGCTATACTTTGGTGCACACTGAAATCATATCAGGGTCATTTGTGCAAGTTGCATTCGGCCTACCACATAGTTGGGTCTTATCAAATTTACACAGCTGACAAAGACAGTATCATCCTGATATCAGTTGTCTCCCTTTTAATGCAAAACAAAGAGTATGTTCAGTTCAATTCTCACAGGTATGTTATGTACGCATTCGCAACCCGGGAGAACATTATGCGCGGTGTCAGAAGTCTACAAAGACTTTCTTATCACCAACTGGCCTGACCTACCAGGAACTAGTATTAGAATTTGTTGCCGAAGTCTTACCCAAGAAAAGGGTCTGCAAGCACAACATGTATGTTATTGACACCTCGTCAGGGAAGTGGGATTCCCCTTGTCTGGTTGCATCTGCCTAACTCTGAACCACAAATCTGATAGCCTGTCGACAGATTGTTGTATATCTACTGTATATTGTTAGCTATGTTTAGGTATCTCTAGTTGCCTGGATATGTGCGCTATATAAATATCCTATAATAAATAATAATAATAATCTCTATTGACACAGTTGTTGTGACGCCATAGCCAGGTGAATAACAATGTGTGCCAGAAATATAACAAACAATTACTTCCTCCAACATAATGTCCTGAAGGACCATTAGTCCACTTACAATAATCGTTGATGCATTCTTTGTAGGATATAGAACAGAAGCTCAAAACATAATTCATATGGCTCCAAATATGAAATCCCAAGCAAATTCTTGATCAAGATAAAATCGCAGCCTGTTCAGCTTCACGAAACACGACACGCATGTGTGCATGAGTAAACCACTGCTTATTACTATGGATGTGTCAACAGAAAATTTAATCATTTATACATGTCTGTCTAAGTGTCCTGTACTGTGTTTTCTTCTATCCAAACTCTTCACGTAATAATGTGACTTTAGACATTAATTAAAAATAAGAACAGAGATGAAAAGGAAAAGAACGAAAGCTCTGAGGAAGTTATATCACTCTGCAGACCATTTGTCAGTTGAAGAGGGACATATATATTCAGTTGTAGTGTTAATCTGATTTGAATATCATTATTGCTTATTCTTTTGAGGAGAATTTGTTATTTCACTTTCACAGCTGAAACAATAAGCTATATTCCTGTAGATAACCTTATCATTTGCATTGATAACAATTTCTTACATGTTTTAATTTCATGCATACTTACCTAAACTGTTGAGGGTAATTAGAATAGTGAAAATTGAAAATTGACCAAAAAGAGGCATCTATTGGAAAATAATTAAGTAATAGATAATATATACATTCATTCAGTTGTCACCATCTTTGCACAGGGACGGGAATATATATTTAAACATATACATATTAGTCACATGGGAGGTCTGAATTGGCAATCTTTGTACTTTCCTGACTCGGACGTAATACTTTCAAAGATCAAATTCACAAAGAATAAATCCAGGCTGCATGCGAGTGTTTTAACCCATGAGGTATCTCATGGCTCCCTCACTAAATATTCATGCCCTGTGACCTCACGGTTTTTCTATGATTAGTGTAAATGTATTCATCATCCCTTGTCAAACTGACAAGTGGTCGTGTCATTGCGAACAATCTGTCTCAAGAAATGCTTGAGGAGAAACAAATGCTGCCACTGAAAAAAACGGTATCCAAAGAAACCACTATGATCCTATGAATAAAACCATTGACAAGGGTAAAAAAGCCTATTTACAAGCCGCCGACATATAGGTGGAATATTGCTGAGTGCGGCGTAAAACTAAACTCAGTCACGTTACAAGATTGTACATTTCATTGCACGGTCCTCTACCAAGAACGGTTCGACCGTATCTGCCTTATCCCTTGTTTGTTTTCAAGGCGATGGACATGGAAAGAACACAATGGAATCAACACGAAAGAGACTATTTCCTGGCTATTTTCCTTTTGAGTGAAGAATCACTCCTTGGTCCAAACATTCCACTGTAACTGTCTTTTAAGAACACCAGGATTGAACCTGTAGTAAAATAATAATTAGTATATAGTGATAGGGAACGGGGCATTTCGGCTCACACAGCTAGAATTTGAATGCGATAACTAGGGCACAAAACAAGAACTTGTGCATTGTAGTTATTATTGATTTTCCTCTCTTTTATTTGCAGACGTTACACCCAGCTTCTGAATTGCAGCAGATGGCACGGACACAGTGCATGTAACTACATAAGTCAATCAAAACTTCGAAGAGGCAATTATCCTTGTTGAACACTTGCTCTGTGACACAAACTACTCCTGTATCAACCGGATAAATTCATCAGGAGACTCGTAAAAAACCAAAAGAATCGCTTGTAAAATGTCTTGAAGCGCCCAATAAATGGACAACTTCCAATCGTCATGTGTGATCATTTGTGTTGATTCGTAATAAAGGGGAATGATCGAGAATCAACAATCGACGATTTATTTCCATACAGTTCTTCTAAGTGATCTTTCCGATCCACAGCCAATTCACGCTTATACAGAACTACCCCAGTGATCTGATTGACCATATCGATTACTATCGCCACAATAAATCGTGTTTCAGTCATTGCATTACAAACAGGTCACACAAACTTAAATTCCCTGCTAAATAAAATATAAAATAAAAAACATCAAACAGCCAAAATTACACGCAGCAATCAATGTCCTGACAGACTGGCTGGGCTTGGGGAAAATATTCAACATGTCGGAAAGAGCACATACACTCACCATTGTCATCGTTATTATAATAATTCGAACCGGAGAGAAGTAGCCATTGCAAGCGTCTTTACATTTAATCTTCTCATTCTTGAACATCACTGAAAGGTAAGCTATACTGATCTCCATGAAGAATTCACCGAGGACCGAAGACTGAATAAAGGTATCAATTTGTAGTCATCATTTTTTTCAAAATGAATCTTGAACTTACACCACAATGGGTTAAAATTCAATGTAATCTTCCAGCCAAGTTTCGTGGTTGATTTGGAACATCCTGTGAACCAAAGAGAGGTAAAATTTCAGATATTGATAATGAATCATATACTTCAACTTGGACTGAAGACCTGTGATGAGTTTTTTTTATCAGATGTAGACCCTCTCAGAACTAGATCTTCCAGGAATTGTTTTGTCATGTCTTCTGTCATTCTCAGTCAAACATGTTCGAGGGGACAAGGGATTATCCTCCTGGAGATCCTGAGGATAGTCCCGGTCTTCTGCCAACACGTGTCCCTGTATTTCTAGGCCCATGACACGTGACATCATATTCGTATATATCACCTTGAGTCCCAGCAGCAGTCAACTAGCGGCAGCATTCGACCAGCAAGGGCGTTCAAGCAGCAACAGCAGCATTATAGCTGCAGCAAACAACAACGACTTAAAGATGTCCTTCACCTATTTACCATGACCTCCGTCTAGCTCAACCTCCTGTGAAAAAAACAGCTAAACTGTTGTGGCTATGTTGGAAATGTAGAGGGAAATGGGTTTTACTTTAACGGCAATTTATCTTTGCATGTTGTATTGTAACTGCACATTAAACATAATTCAGTATACATCTGTGAATTTGCTGTTGCGTCTGACAGCCCGTGCCAGGTGGGGCCGAAATATCTGTGAGAATTCGATGTTGGAAGTATGGGTAAATGGGATGTAGTTTGAACAAGGTGTTTACTGGAAATGCTAAGCTATGAGATTCTATAAAGTGATAATTTGGTGGATATAATACTATGCCCTATATGAACACAATTCAGGATATATCTGTGACGTTTAAGATGGAATACCCTTTGCACACCCACTCACTAGGAATAAATAGGCGACATACTGGGGCGACGGTTGAAGGTGAAATAAACTTTGCACACACTCTCACCAAGCACAGGTAGGAGATATACTGAGAGAAACAAAAAAAGTATCACGAGAAAATTCAAGCTATCCTTTAATATTTTCCAGTTTTCATCACCAGCGTTGAATAGCGCTGTGGTGATGGAAACTGGAAAATAATTAAGGAACGCTTGAATTTTCCTGTGATCCTTTATTTGTTTCTCTCAGTATATATTGGGGCGACGGCTGAAGGTAGACTACTCTTTGCGCACCCACTCGCCAAGCACTGACAACTAAGAATGCAACATAAATAGGCGACTGGGTCGCATTATGTAGACAGCAGCCTATACAGCGTCGTCGCTGAATATATGCGTTAAAACCAGCTGCAACATTGAGACAACCGTCTACTACGAGTAACCGTAAGGGACACAATACTTTGTATAGTTTGTGTGAAACGTTCACTCGCGTTAATCATGATTACCATTGAATGTGTGTCTTCCCGGGTTGAAAAGAAACTACATGATTGTAAAATACGACGTATTTACTGACATCATACCTATGCAAGTGATCTATTATAAACTGTTTCTTTGCATCACCACGACGCAATCCTGACACGATTCGTAAAGTACGGCGTGTGTAAGTTGTAACAAATGTTTGGTTAGCCATTCAAATGCCAGACTCACTCGCTATTTACGTAGTAGTAAGGACCTAGAAACTATGTACATTGGTTGCCTGCAGCTGATTGGCTCAAGAGAATAAGTGAATTAACTGATGTTGTTTGTCATGTATTCCAGATATATCCTACTAATGACAAGCGTGTGCATCATTTCCTGCTGTTAAGTCAAATACGGGTTAGAATGACTATTGGCTGTTCATCTGTACCAAACTGAATATTGAATAATCTCGTATTTTGATATGTGTGTACCAGTGGGAGATGTTTATCACTGACACTTTATATACTGAACATGTATCATGTATCTCGGGCGTATCTGATATCTATCATGAGCATGCCCAAGTTGCTGTAAATATAGACATTGTGTGTCTCGAATGCACATCATATAAGTGTGAGTTTGGCTTACATTTTTTTTCAGTTTCTTCAATATAAAAATAGAATATGTATTGTGTAACAGAGAACATTGCAGTTAATGTTGTATTTCAACTACAGGACTCTTTTAAAATGGACTGACTGTTGCTAAATGTGGCCAACTTACTCTCAATATACAGACATGAATTTAAGTTCCTCATTGCATATTTGACATGGATCCAGTGTTACTACAATGCATTTATAGCTTTTCGAAGTCTGATACGCTCATAATGAAAGGAAAGTCGGGACATTTACAGTTGTCTATTCATCCAACTACCTATGCACCCTAGTCTACCACTGAGCCACCCGGGGTCAGCTGGTATTGTCAGACACCACCTATGCAGGTAGGCTGCAAGCAATGAAATGAGTCTACGTGTGTTTCTGGAGTTAATTCCACTGCTTGTTCTGCTGGATACTGCTCACATACGGCCTTGTGGTAGGTGCAGGTCCGTGCTACATACTGCTGCTTACACGTAATGTCTTGCTATACAACAAACGTACCCTAAACACTATGCACATGTTGACCTTCTGGCTGGGTTGACAGTTGAGAGGCAAAGCTTGTCCGAGGGATTATCTGGTTGAACAGACGCTTTTATTTCCAGCCAGAATATAACATTAGCCGACTTGGATGGTAACGCTACATTTCTAGTTATAATCGTTGGGCTTTGAAACATAAATAATAGCATTCAATATGAAAACTGCCGACCCTGCCGAAAAGCGGGACTTGGTGTTTGGAGTCACCTCCCTTTCGTTAGATTAGATTCGCAGATCGGCACAATTCCTGTTGAACAGATGTTGACGAACGTATTTCAAGTGATATTCAGATCGGTATTATATCTGAAAAAAATTGATTATCTAGTACCAAAGGAAAACAAGACGCATGAAGGCACGTTGGCATATTCTTTGATGACAAACTTCTAACCCAAGAACGAACTTTGATTCCTGAAATGAGGATATGTTGCAGCTTAACAAGGTAGCATCTGTACCAGACTTTAGAAAGAAAGAAAAATAAAATCGTGGATTTGGATTGTTACACAAAAGGGCTTGGTCGGAAATCGGTCCTGTAAAAGTGCGATATAATATAATAATTATAATAATAAATGGATATTTCTTGTCAATCATAGTCAATCCAGAGCATGCTCAAAGCACTACATACAAAAGAGTCACAATAGTTTATGAGGAAAATATGACAGTTCGTCAAAATGACCATCAGAATAGTTGGCAGTTATTCGTTGTAGAATGTTTTGAAAAGGAAGGTTTTGAGTCCCGATTTGAATGAGTCTGAGGGTGAAGCATCTTTTATGGGAGAAGTAAGACTGTTCCACAATGTTGGTACTGCAAATATGAATGATCCATGGCAAAAGATATAAATGATCGCTCGAAATCTAAATTCCCCCCCTTTTCAAAACCATTTTATTCGTGTGTGCTATTTAAATGACAACGCACAAATACTCCCCATATCACACTAACGTGCAACTGAAAGACTGTTCAAAGCATAACACGCTCACTAGCAACATTTGAAACAAACAACCAGCACGTCATACTGTTTCAGAGTCAGCTTCAGTTCTTGCCACCAACAGACGTGTTCCTGTCGAAGGTGTCAGTTTCAGCATCACCTGTACACTAGATGCAGCTATCAGTGGATCTGCTCTCTTCTACAAGGGTCTTACTTCTAACCAGGGAGGCTGCCTATCATCAGGCAGCTGTGGGACATATGTGTCAGGATACAATGTGAGTCTGGACAGTACATCCAGGATCCTGACTCTAGACATCGCTTCAGCAAATTCCACCAGAGACAGCGGGACATGGACATGTACTGATGGTGCTACATCATCTAACAGCATAACATTGTCACAGTTTGCAGGTCAGTTGTATCTGTGTCAATCATATATTTACAACTGGAAACACGTTGACTGTGAATAATGTTGGAGTGAGTGAGTGAGTTTAGTTTTACGCCGCACTCAGCAATATTCCAGCTATATGGCGGCGGTCTGTAAATAATGGAGTCTGGACCAGACAATCCAGTGATCAACAGTATGAGCATCGATCTCCACAATTGGGAACCGATGACATGTGTCAACCAAGTCAGCGAGCCTGACCACCCGATCCCGTTAGTCGCCTCTGTACGGTTACTGAAGATCAATATTCTAACCCGGACCTTCACGGGTTGAATAATGTTGGAACTAATATTTGCAGAAGATAGTCCCTAGAGCAACCTACAGTTGCTTGTTTCACCTTCAGATCGCCAAGTCGGAATATTCCGGAGCTTTCAGTGATGATTTTGTATTGTAAAATGCTTTAGCGGCTTTTACTTGAGGGAGCCTAAGGTTCGTGTCAAATTGACAAAAAGAAACATAATAAGCATATATATTAGAAGAAAGTTGTTAAATATGTATAAAAGTTGGTAATTATGTATAAATATAACTCTTTCCACAATCATAAACATTTCCCCTGTATGATCCAGACAATATCTCAAACAAGTGTTTATAGTATATGTTCAAATATGTCCAATATGATGCTCTATTACAACAGCTGCAAACCTATGTGGAAAACATATAATAAATACAAACTGAATGACCAATATGTTTATGCTAGTTCCTAGTGCAACTGGATTTTTCTGCATAAGACTTCAAGTAAATAATGTGATATCGAACAGGTATATTTGTAATTGCAAACGTTTCTTGTTTATTCAAATCACGTAACTCGACAAATTGGTATACCCCACGGCTGTTAGTAAAGTACAACGTTTAAGAACTGACAATATTTCATCGGATGAAGGAGTAAGAATATACTCTGAAACTTCGAGCTCATCAAAGTAAAGAAGCTGACATCCATAACATTCTTATCGTTAGGTGTACCACTTCTAAATGCCGTTCAAATACTCTATATGGCAATATTTCCTTTTGATTAATAATGTTTTAACGTTTCATGTCCACATACCTGGGAACGCCACACATCGTGATATAACTGGTCAAATATAGGACGTCAGTTGGAAAGAATACCATTACTGGACAATTTCCGTTTGATGTTAAGGGAAAAATAGTTATGAAAATTGTAAGAAATGATCACGGAAAATCAGTGATGACAAACCGTGTTGAGACATCTCAGCTCACCCTTACGCTCAGATTGCAAAATCTCGCATGTATTTGTCATGACATAGTCTAGAATAATTATTTTTAAATATATAGGTTTCGGTTATTTCATGAATTACATCAAGACAAATATACTGGTCAGATGAAACCAGAGCTGTACTTGCATTACCAGGTACAGAATCACCACTGAACGATGAGCTGCACTTATCAAGGGCGGCCATGCAGCGTGGTCCACAGCTCATATCCTGGCTGACTGGCCCCTGCGTACTCACAAGGCGTTTATAGATTTACACAAGACATATAATTTTATCATTCCTTCTTACCAGCTGTGCTGAACTGGAGCTCTGTGACCTTCTCTCCACAACTGACATCTCTCCCGTCGTCCGTTACACCACAGAACAACATCTCCGTCACTGTGACCACTCCATGTGCTGCACCTGCCGCCGTCATCACATGGAGATACCAACAGGTAGGAACCGTATGTTCATCTTCATGTATTAGATCATCGTGTGTATGTATCTGTCAGCGATATTTCGGTTGTAGTCCCACTGCTTTTTTGGAACACACAAACCCGTGGCTTTAAATGTATAAGTTGAGATATCTACTGCGCAGTGGTTCTGTATCAAATTTCAAAAGTGGGTTTATCACTATTCCAATTTTACATGATGACAAATGATTCATGGGTAGTTATTTACAGACCCGATATTATGTATTTCACTGACATGATATCATGTCATGAATAAACGTATTGCAATGATTTAGTTGACATCATCATCATCATTGACATCAATATATATGCTAAAGATCTATTTATCTTTCCGTTGGGAAAAAACATAAACTGGAAAATCTCCAAACCTGAAAGAAATATCAAAATCTTTTATGCTTTCTGAGGACATGAATTGTAACCGAAAGTGACACTTGAATCCAATTACTGATTATCGTGTGTTTCACTGCATGCACGTGGAGTAATCCGAAGAAAACTGCTTATTTCGTTCATTTGAGGTAAACAAGAAACAACTGTGCATTTTAGGATGAAACAAATTTAGCCGTAAACAGGGCTGTAAGTATCGTAATTCCTTTCATTATAACAATAATTTTTACAACAGTGTATCCTTTAAAATTATCTTTAATCTTTAACTGAAGTGGGCAGTAGTTATCACAATAATTAATGTCGTTTCGGTACTAACACCGTCAAGCACTTGCTTGATAACGGTGTTAGTACCTACACCGAAACGTCGAACTCATTGCAATAAAGAAGTTCACTATCCATAAAACTTGGTTATCCTTCATCTATACAACTTCTAAAACGCCTCTCAAAGATGTCTTAGATGGGTAATTATATAATACAGCGACGTCCCACCAGCTGTAAATATTCCGATGGGTGCGGACAACTTTCAGTCCATCAGTCTGTGTTGTGTTTACAGGGTGTGAGTGGTGCCCCACCCAGCAGTACATCTTCCACTCAGGGATCATGTCCATCAGGTGAAGTCCAGACAACCAACACTCTGTCTCTACCAGGGCCCACAGTCTGTCTATCTAACTACTGTTTTGTGTTTACAGGGTGAGAGTGGCGTCCAACTCAGCAGTACATCTTCCACCCAGGGATCATGTCCATCAGGTCAGGTCCAGACAACCAACACCCTGTCTCTACCAGGGGACACAGTCAGTCTATCTAACTACTGTTTTGTGTTTACAGGGTGAGAGTGGCGTCCCACCCATCAGTACACCTTCCACCCTGGTATCATGTCCATCAGGTCCACACAACCAACACTCTGTCTCTACCAAGGAACACAGTCAGTCTATCTAACTACTGTTTTGTGTTTACAGGGTGTGAGTGACGTCCCTCCCAGCAGTACATCTTCCACCCTGGGATCATGTCCATCAGGTCCAAACAACCAACACCCTGTCTCTACCAGGGAACACAGTCAGTCTATCTAACTACTGTTTTGTGTTTACAGGGTGTGAGTGGCGTCCCTCCCAGCAGTACATCTTCCACCCTGGGATCATGTCCATCAGGTCAGGTCCAGACAACCGACACCCTGTCTCTACCAGGGAACACAGTCAGTCTGTCTAGCTACTGTTTTGTGTTTACAGGGTGTGAGTGGCGTCCCTCCCAGCAGTACATCTTCCACCCAGGGATCATGTCCACCAGGTCAGGTCCAGACAACCAACACCCTGTCTCTACCAGGGAACACAGTCAGTCTCTACAACAGGCAGGTGTCTCTCACTGTCAGTGTGGAACATGATTCCTTTGATCCTCCCACGTATACCAAGTCCGTCACTTCAAACACCATACAGTTCCCTGGTGAGTACATATGAACTCCCAGTCTTCCTGTTGTTAACTCATGATCAGTATCATTGTTCAACAAGAGTGAGTGAGCAATATCAATGCGAGGGGCACCAACAATGGGTTTCACACATTGTACCCGTGTGAGAATCAAACTCGAGTCGTTAGCCTAGCGAGTCAACACTTTAACCACTAGGCTACCCCATCGCCCATGTTGCAGCAAGAAGGGTAAGTATCACATCAGCAGTAAGCTTCCTCCTGGGAAAAGTCTTCGAAGTAACATTTTTGAAAATGTCTTTACGTGTATGTCACCCAATACATTTCAAACACAGCAAGAATGTTATAAGCCGACCTGTTTAAATATGATGTATGAATTATTTTTCATATGTCAGCCATATTGATTTGGTACTGAAGCGTACACTTGGGAGGAGTACAAAGCATTCATTTCACAGAGAGTTAGGTTGGTGATAACTACAGCGTTGTTTTGTTTTGAAAATATATTATGTTCGTCAGCCTTTAAAGGCCGGTTTGTGTTGTAGACATGTGTTATACTTTCAGTTTTGGATCACCATTTTAGGAGGTAAAACGTCAATTTGTGTGCATCTGTTGATATAACCAGAGACAATATTGCATGAATAGTAATGAGCAAAAGTTGTCACGTGGCACCCAATGCTAACAAACACATGATCAATTGTCAGATCACTATGTATGTACATGTATGTATCTGACAAAAACTGAAACATGAAAAGGTCATGAATTGCCACAAAAAAGACCAACCCTCAGAGGCTGGTATGTATGTAGCTCTGAAGTCACAAACTCCTAGTAAGAGTCAGTCGGTTGCCAAGCTTACTTCAAACCTCAGTAAGAACGTTGCCAACTTTTTTTTTTTTTTTTTTTTTTTTTTTTTTTGTCAAGTCTTTTTATTGTCTATAGGCCACAGGCCGTATACAACATATATACAATTTTCACATACATTTACACATGTATACAATAACAAAGGTTGAGTTTACAACAAATATATATGATGTCATAGTACATGGGGAAATCCTACAAAAATATATCTTACTGAATTGGGAGGTATTTTGATGCATGGTAAAAATATGTGCATAATTTTCTAGAAGTGTTTCGTTATTAGTAGTTTTTTGTTTTGGGGGTTTTTGGTTTTTTTTCTTGCATCATAAGTTGTATATAATGTCATATCTGATATATCATAAGTATATAGTATTACATCCCATATGTCAAATTGTAAATAGCATCATATATGAACATATCAAGCTGTATATTGTGTCACATTCAACATATTTTGTTGTATACGGCGCCATATCTGACATACCACGTTGTATATAGCGCCACATCTGACATATCATACTGTATATAGTGCAACACCCGACATAGCATATTGTAGTGTCACGGCCAATCTATCGTGTTGTACATAATGTATTATCTGATATACGTTGTAAATATGTCTTATCTAACATGTGTTGTATATAGTGCCACAATTATTCTGACATTTCATGCTGTGTCTTGTGTCACATCTAATGTGTTGTGTTATATATTGCGCAACATCCGGCTTATTGTGTTGTATATTGTGTCTTATATCCAACCTATAATATGTGTTCCCCAAAGTTACACCAGTGCCATTAACTAACTAGTCAATATATAACTAAAACAATGATAATTTTTCAAAAGGGGAAACAGATCAAGATTTTACAAAAGAAGCAATTGCTGCATACACAGGGCAGGTTTGAAATACTGGGAATAATGGATGCCATTTATTAGCAAATTTCTTCATTTTATTCTTCGTTTGGCAATGAAGCTTTCAACAGAAAAAATATCTTTTAAAGTCTTTATAAAGTTATCGCATTTTGGAATATTGTTTTTCAAAGAAGAGACATAGATCTGTCTTTTTGCTGAAATGATTATATGATTAAGTAATGGGTTTTTACTTAAGGAGCCAAAATACACCAAATATTTTGTCAAATTGACTTTTTGTATCAAATAAGTGTTAATCCAAATTTGAAGATCCTTCCAAAACTTCTTAGTTTCACTACATTCCCAGTAAACATGGCACAAGTTTTCATCTTCATCTTTACAAAAGCTGCATGAGGCGCTCTGGATAAGGTTCATTTTTAAAAGTTCCTTTTTGGTATAGATAATACCGTGTAAAAATTTATATTGGAACTTTAAGAGTTTTACATCATTAATGTCTTGTCTGTAAGACTTGAAAATCATTGGCCAATCAAAGTCAGTATCTTCAAACACATTCTCCCATTTATGACACATATGAGGGTTATTATTGTTAAATAACAATATATCATAAAATAATCTTGATCCTTGTAATGATTTCATAAAATTCTTTTGATAGGAGTTAAGATTCATGTCATAGTTATTTATACACCTGTGATTTGTTATTGTATTTTTCCATGATTCAGGTATATTATTTAGAACATATCTATGATCTAATTCTGTCCCTTTATTGCATATTTACTTTTAATGATTCAAAAAGACATCAAACCTTCTTCATCACACATGTCTTTGATGGTTAATAGTCCTTTATTTGCCCAATGACTGATATAATGATTTTGGTATTTAAAATTATGATTAAACCATAATGGCTGTGCTAAAATTTCATCAATGTTGTTTTCCTCTATGGTAATGTTAGTACAATACATGTTCCATGCTTTTAAAACATCTTTCCAATATGGATTATGAATATCAGCAATATTATAGAAGTTAGCACCAAATTTCATGATATCATGTAATGGAAAATTGCATGGATTACATATTGATGATTTTCTTAAATAAAGTCTCAAAGTGGATAGTTTCAAGGCATTGATAAAGGTTTTTATGTCGGTCATTCTTAAACCCCCATGTATATAATCTTTTTTCAAGGTACTTCTCTTAATTTTGTCAGTTTTGTCAGTCCAGATGAATTTGAAAAATATTTTATCAAGGGAGGTAACAAAATCTTGGGGTGGGTTTGGTAAAGTACTGAAAATATGAACTAATATTGACATAGCTAGTGTCTTGATAACAGTGATTTTGCCGATTAATGTTAAATGTCTTTTTCTCCACACTGCCAATAATCTGTTAACTGCCAATAATCTGTTAATTTCCTCTAGTTTTTTCTTTGTATTGATGATCCATAGATCTTTCAGTTCAGCATTAAGTATAATTCCCAGAACAACAAATTCATTTTTTCGCCATTCAATATTCAAATCCTGACATAGTTTATCACCACAACCTGCTTTAGATCCAATCCAGATAGCTTTAGTCTTATCAATATTTATTTTTAGTCCTGACATCCCATAGAAAGTATTAATTGCATCAACAGCAGAATATAGACATTTTTCTGTACCATCTAAAAACAACTCAGTATCATCTGCATATTGTCCTAATTTATACTCTGTATCATCAATTACTATACCTTTGATATTTTCATTTTGTCTTATCATGCATCCAAGGATTTCAGCTACAAAAAGGAAAAGATATGGTGATAACGGATCCCCTTGTCTACAGCCCCGTTCATTTGAAAAGAATTCTGAGAGATGTCCATTTTGAATAACACAAGAAGTTGTATTATAGGTTAGGATATTTATCCACCTAATAATTTGGGGACCAAACCCAAACTTTTTTAATACCAAATTTATAAAATCTTTAGAGACAGTATCAAAAGCCTTTTCAAAATCGATCAAAATTAATAAACCTGGGATGTCTCTTCTTTTTGTCTCAAACATAATGTCATAGAGTAATCTTGTGTTTTCGCTTATAATTCTACCAGGTATAAAACCAGTCTGATTTTCATGTATAAGAGAGTACAGGGTTGTTTTTAACCGATTAGAAATACAAGTACTTACTATTTTATACAGTGAATTCAATAAAGTTATTGGTCGCCAGTTTTTTAAAAGGGTTCTGTTTTTATCTGGCTTGGGTATACATGTAATAACACCTCTTTTCATTGTGAAAGACATTTGATTCTTATTAAAAAATTTCTTTAATAAATCTATAGATCCAATATTTAAGGTCTTTCAAAAATATTTAAAGAAATCTATTGGAAATCCATCTACACCAGGGCTTTTGTTATTTTCATATGTTTAACAGCCAATGTTATTTCTTCCATGTCAATATCTTTTCTAATTTGTTTCTAAGATGGCCAGTTAAAGTGGGAGTTACCACATCTTGTAAACAAGTTTCATCCTCATATTTCCTGCCAGAAGAGTAAAGTTGTTTGTAAAATGTTTTTACTTCATTTAAGATAGAAAAGCTGTCAGTAATTTCGTCATTGTTATCCGTGACAATCTTATTAATTGATTTGCTGACATAATTTCTATTTTCTAGGTTGCAAAAATATTTGGTTGGCTTTTCCCCCTCTTCATACCATAAAATTCTGTTTCTGAGCTGTATACCCCTTATTTCATCTTCTTTAATTTGTTGTAGTTCAAATTTATATTTTGCAAGTTCAGATAATAAATTTTCATCTATAGTTTGAAAGTCCTTTCTTATTGATTCTTCATAGTCTTTAATTTTAGTTTCTAATTCTGTGGTTTTATCAATGGTTTTCCTTTTTAGAAAGGTTGAAAATGAAATTGATTTTCCCCTAACATTCATAAGGAAGGTTTCTAAAAATAAACTATCATCAATCTTAAGTTTTATATTAAGGTCATTAGCATTTTCATCATATACATCAATATCTGAATATTCTTCAACTGTGTCCTTTAATATGGATCTAACAAGTTCGCTATATTCAGGTTGTAACAATAAAGACGTATTAAATTTCCAATATCCCCGCACTCTTTCTTGGTTAATAGTATTTGAAGTAGGTAGGTAATAGCCGAGTGGTCCGTTTTATAGCCTGGTAGAATATCGGAATCAAGCGTAAGGTTCAGCAAATCTTGTGAGATTAAAAAAAAAAGTCCAGTCTGGCTTGTTGTCTTGGATGTTTTTTCCACCATGTAAATTTTTTTCAGATTATCATTCGAATCACGCCAAATATCCACAAGATCATAAGCTGCAATTGTGTCTAAAACTACTTTTCTGGCCTTGGGATTGTTGATATTTTTGTAATTTTCTAAATCAATGGAAGGATCAAGAACCAGATTCCAATCTCCTACCATAACCAGAGATTCATTCTCAAAATTGGATAAACTTTCGAAAAGCTTTACATAAAATAGTGGGTCATCAATATTTGGTCCATAAAGGTTTGTGAGGGTAAATCTTTTATCTTCTACAGTTATGTCTGCAATAATAAAATTTCCACCTTTATCTTCCAGAGTTTTATGTATAGTGAGATCAATATTATAATTGAAAAGTATTGCAACACCTCTTGAATTGGACTTGAAAGGTGCAATTATACTCTGCAATCCCCATTCATTTCTCATTTTATTAACATCTTCTTTGGCTATATGGTTATCTTGTAAGCAAATGATTGAGTATGATTTCTTTCTATAGAGATTCATAACTTCTTTCCTTTTATTTTTATTTGCCAGACCCCTACAGTTAGCAGAAATCATCCTTATTTTTTTTATATTATCCATCTGATAACCATGTTAGAATCAAAGTATTTTTAAGTATTGAGATATAATTGAAATCTCTAGGATTACGCTTGAGTTTTGTGACATGATATATGCATATATGCTGTATTTCAAGACATGTTAGATCATTTGATGTAGATGGTTGAGAACAATATCTTAATATTTGGAAGACTACTAAAAACGTTGCCAACTTCCCGTAGAGTTACTGGAAGGCGGCGTCACTGGGGGACGTCTTGCAGCTCGTTCTGCGCGTCTTTGATAGGGTTGATGGCTGGTGACCTGACTGGCCTCCCCATGCGCATAATGGACTCGTGCTCAACGTACATATTAACGACCCTAGCATGATGAGGTCTTGTGTTATCGTCCATGCGAATGCTTGCCTCTCGTAACCTGGCACAAACCAGTCTCACTGAAACGATTACACACTGTGTAAGTGGAAACGTTCCACAGACCATTTCTCAGTATGACATCCTTGTGCAATCAGGAGAAATCCAACTGTGGTAGAATTCTATCGGCTGCATGAGTAGTATAGATTAGATATGTGTATGTACATTTTGTATTCAAATCTCTGACGTGAAAACACGACAGATTGTCGTATTCTATTATACAAATGACGACACGAGAAATTGAAAGAGAAATCTTTCCTACTTACAACGTTGAGTTGATTGGTCGAATTAAGTTATATACTCAAATAACACACCGAATCAATGTTACACGTTTACTGGCGCGAAAGAAATTGTGTTCCATGGAAAGACAAATGTTCCACAGGCGTTTTCCTGGCTTCTGCGAGTCTTAAGACCCCACTGAGTGGAAACGAGAAGCTGTCTGGCCTTTATAAGTGAAACATTGCTCGCAATACTCGAATACCCACGTTCAAATTTCGTACAATTCGAACAACAGATGTTTGGATGCGTTCCTTCGACCACTGTTACGCCCTCTGTCTCTGTTTCAAATTAAAGAAAACACTTTCACAAGAATACTGGTGAAAACATCCATGTTACAATAACTTTTGCCGCTGAATATAACAAATTCTTAAGTTGTTATAATATGTGGTAAATACATAATATTATCCACTGTTTGGAATATGACCGTGAAATAGTGGCATGTGTCAAAAACTATTTAAAGTAAAAGTTTCTTGCGTCTGCTGTTTTTACAGTCCCGGTCAGCTCTGTGACACTCACAAACATCAAGTCTGATAATTGAAGATTGGACAGGAAGTGGGTCAAACTCTAACCTTGACCTGCATGACCTCAGCCAGTTTCCCCACTTCTACTGTCACCTGGGTGGCCTTGCCAGGAACGACACCTACAGTCAGCACAGAGACGACATCTGGTGTCCTGGTGAAGACAACAAGCTCCGTCACATTCACTGTCAGAAGAAGTGACCAGGACAGAAGCTTTCGCTGTCAATCTGTAAACATCAACGGTCAGACATCCCCGCAGTCTAACAGAGCAACACTGGAGGTTTGATGTAAGTAAACACATTCTAACTGGGCCATACTGGAGGTTTGGTGTAAGTAGACATAGTGTAACAGAGCTACACTGGAAGTTTGGTGTAAGTAGACTCAGTCTAACGAAGCCACACTGGAGGTTTGGTGTAAATAGACACAGTGTAACAGAACCACACTTGGGGGGGTTGGCGTAAGTAGACACAGCCTAACAGAGCCACACTGGAGGTTTGGTGTATGTAGACACGATGTAACAGAGCCAGACTTGAGGTTTGGTGTACGAAGACACAGTGTAACAGAGCCACACTGGAGGTTTGGTGGAAGTAGACACAGTGTAACAGAGCCACACTGGAGTTTAGGTGTAAGAGAGCTACAAGGAATGTTTGATGTGAGAAGACACAGAGTCACAGAGCCACACTAGAGATTTGGTGTAGACATTGTTTGGGCGTATGATGACTCAGTCCAAGAGAGAAACGCTGAACATGAGATGCCATCTTATAACAGAGCCAACTGCGGGTTTTGTTTAAGTAATCAGGTATCAATCAAATGTTTTGTAAGTAGCGTGTCAGGTATGAATGCCATCTTCAACAGAGCCTCCAATTTCTGGTGTCCCCCGCTGTGATATTGCTGGAATATTGCTAAAAGCACCGTTAAACCCAACTCACTCCCTCACTCAACAGAGCCTCACTACATGTTTGGTTTAAGTAATCAGGTATCAATCAGATGTAGCGTGTGAGGTATGAAACATACAGGTTTTGGTGTCAACAGTCTTGTATCTATCAAGGCAATGTATAAAGTAAGTAAAGTCTTCAGATCCACTGTGAATGACTGCAACAAGTCCGCATATTCCAGAACGCCACGTTGGTGTTTGATGCAGAGAAACAGAATAACGGTATTGCTGATCTGAACATGTATCTGTCAGACGTATGCAAGATTCTGTATATAAGCAGATACAGTTTAACAAACAACACAGTAATTATATACTTGAACTGTATTCCAGTTGGACCACAGGAGGTTGATGTTACAATGCCAGAGAACAATGTAACTTTAGAGAACATAAATATCACTTTGACCTGTGGTACCACCGGTTACCCCAACCTGACCTTCACCTGGGACTACAGTGATGGAACACCCGTAGGTGGCAGCACAGGACCTGTAGCAGAATCTTCTACTTGGTGGTCCCAGACTCTCATCTTCAGGCCAAACAAAGGCAAGACAAGTGTGAGGTGTCACGTCAGAAACACCATAACATCCACAACTAAGACTGGTTCTGTGTCACTGGATGTCAAATGTAAGTTCAGGAGTGTTTCGAGGATTTTATTTATAACGCAAAGCATTTCCATCATGTAAATACTTCCTGGACATCATAATGCCTATGCCAGTTTCTGGGGGGTATTTTTTCAGTTTTCTACTTTGCACTATGAGCGTATGCCACTGATGTATTTAATTGTATTTGCAAGCTGACTGCCATATCAAGATGGTGTTACTACACATTTCTGTGGTGTATAATTGTCTTTAGCGATCACTAGCGTTAATGTAAAACGTTAATATCAAACTTTGATTATCCAGTGTAACGGATTCCACAGGGCATTAGAGGTAACATATCACCGGAAACGGTGGTAAGACCAGGCTTTAAATCCATCGATCTCGTGAAACAACCCAGATATATTCATGGTCCTCGCTGTTACATGTACACTTCATGTTCTGTTTATCATGGTTAAACCATATTTGTTTAAGATCCCCCCACGTGTCCCTCCCTCCATCACACAGTTTCCTGCTCTGATGTTTGATGGAGACCCACAGACAATCAGCTGCTCGGTGACAGGAGGAAATCCTCTAGCTACGATCACGTGGTCCTGTCCTGGCACTGGATCAGCATCGGTCAGTGACAGTGGTCAGACCAGGACATCTACTCTCTCCTTTACTGTCAGCAGGAGTCAGAATGGTCAACAGTGTAAGTGTCTGGGGACGTGGCAGTATGGAGGATACAACTACTCTGATGCCAGGACATTCAACGTCAGCTGTGAGTACCGCTTACTGTTTCTGAATGGACTGACAGGTACAAGGGATACCCTCTTGTCATTGAGACATGTATGGATGATTCATCCTTTCTATGTTAGAGATCCCTGAAGTTTTTGGCCATGCTAGGCTTTGTCATTTTCTCCCAGATGGCATTTTAGAAGCTGTATTATTGATGTAGATGATACCTTTGTCAAACTTTGAAACCGAGACAACACAAAGCTTGGGACAATGATTAATTGATTATCAAAAATTAAATGTACGTACATGATTTATTTACAACTCATCCTACACCGCAGGTCCAATAAACCCACAACCACTCAAAGCCGACTGTAACATGACAGGTGTAATAGCAGGAACCGCAATAGGAACCCTACTTCTCACCTTACTGATTGGAGCTCTAGTTCTGGCTGTCCTCTATAGGAAGGGGTTCAGGTTTGGAAACGTCATGACAGGTATGTTGTTAAATCTCATTGGCAAGAAGTAGTGTGTCGTGATGTTTTATTTCAACGTTAATTTAATTGATCACGATGGTGGACCTGAAAGTTATCTATGAACCTGGTACTGTATACACAAACAATAAAGACATATAACTGCGGGACTAGTGATTCTGAGGAGTATGTCTGTCATAACGTTTCATATGATTCATGGTTCCTTTGCATCAGTAACCAACAATTTCCAGATTGCCATGTGCCGTTTGTGATGTGTGTGTTTCGTTGAACTGTATATCCATTGTCTTCCTTTCAGAAAATGCTTCCCCGAAAAGGTACACAAGATGCTTCCCCGAAAAGGTACACCAGATTGATAAATAATCCGTTTTGAAAGAATTAGCTTTGAAATACTTTAAATGTAATTTATAATCAAATATTAATATCAAATAATAAATGTATGCGTTTCCATTGTGAGATCAATTACCTGTCTCATTTGCCTTTGTAGCACTAGAAATCCTGAATTGGAAGAAAATGAAAACATAGGATACTCCTCCCTAGGTAGGTTCAATATTTATGGTCAGATATATCGATTTGATCACAGACATACTTCTCGAATTTTTATATGAAAATATTGATTTGTTACAGATCAAATTGACAGTCCAGCACAGTCCTCTAGCATGAGTACAGATGGTTCGGAAAGACAACATTACACACAGTTGAAGATTTATGAGAATACAAATGGTAGATGGATACAGTTTTTACATTACAATAGAACTCAATCATATGTGAGGTGAAGGTATGCCATAGTGCAGGTATTATATCTATCTTGTGTTTGGAATGGAATACAACATATGAACTGTTATTTTGGAAATGTGTGCCGTGGTTTTCAGTCGAGGCCAAACCAGAGACAAGTGAGTGAGTGAGTGAGTTATTATTTAACGTCACACGAAGCCATATGACGAGAACAGAGATTGAAATGGAACCAGAGACAAGTACCTCCTGCACCAAACGAGTCAATCAGCGCATCTCCATACCAGAACAGCGGCGCTCAACCTTGAGGTAAGCAATATTTGGAAAACAAAGTTCACGCAATTAATTGTACACAAGAACAGTCTCAAACTGACGCCTTGGCTTCATCATCTGTTCTAATGTAGAGTGTATTGTTTACTGTGCTTTAATTTGTAAATCTGGATAAATCAAAGGTGGTTGTTTTTCGAAACGGAGGACGCGTTAAGAGAAATGAAAAATGTTTTTTTAAAGGTCTACCTGTAGAGGCCACCCCTTATTAAAAATATTTAGGAATTGTATTTTCGTCTCGTTTAGTTTGGTCCAAAGCGTGTGAAACGCCATCTTTACAAGCCCAACGTGCATTTTTCTCTCTGTTTCAACTGTTCGCCAAGTATCAAAGTATGTCCTTAACTATTGCTAATAATATATTTGTCAGTAAGATACTACAAATTCTAACCTATGGACGTGAAATTTGGGGCTATGCTTATAGAACGTGTATTGAAAAGGTTCATAGTGAGTACTATAAAAGATTTCTGTCACTCAGTAAAAAAACTGCATCATGTGCTGTACTTGGAGAAATTGGCAGATATAACTTGTGTGTACATTACCATTCAAGGTGTATTAAATATTGGTGCCGAATTATTCGTATGGATCAAAATAGATACCCGAATGCCTGTTATAAGATGATGAAAGCCTATGATGATAACGGAGGCACAAACTGGGTTTCACATGTTCGAATGCTTCTATTTACTACAGCTTTCTCCTATGTCTGGTTAGCCCAAGATTGTGGCGATGTAAATCACTTCATGTTTGAGTTCAAACAACGCTGTATAGATTAGTAAAATATGAAACTCATCATTCCTTGTAAATTATAGTACATTCACTTCTTGAACCTGAACTGTATATTTCCTGTGGCGCATTAAACAAAGATCTTATGCCAATGTTGATCAAATTCCGATGCCAAACACAAAACTTGAATATACAAAAACAACGTTTTTCAGGGATAATTGTCCCATGTAAAGAATTAGTTTGTAACAAATGTACTTTAAACGTGTTTGAAGACGAATATCAATTTTATAACCGATGCAGATCCCAATGTATTCCAGCCTATTTCTACAGCCCACCTTCAATTGTCAAATTCCGAGCCCCTATGAAGATACCCAGTGTAACTGTTCTTGAAGGAATATGTATATTCCTGAAGCAAAACCTACGTTAGAATAATTGTATTATGAATTATATTTCAACTCTACACACAATGACAATGTTGTATTACCTGTTGTACTCTTGGCCAAATGGCCTTCAATTCTGAATAAAGTGATCATCAAATATAATTTGACTTGGCACATTCTTTACGAAATTAATGAGACACACTGAATTTGCTACTGTATATTTCATGTATTTTCAGATCCTGACTACGGGAATACATAAACCAAACAAGACATGAGATGACATCACTGGACAGTAATACAAAGGGAATGAACTGATAATCTGTGTACATTTCATATGGTTTATTTTGTCAACATATGACTGTTACCTTATTACATATGTATATGATATTATATTATTTGTACTATGTACACACATGATTCAACAAACGTTTACGCACATATATATTTTCAAGATTGGATAATTGTGTATTTATCTGTGTTCGTATGCATAATAGATGACTATATGTAACGAGATGTAACTGTGTATAGTTTAAATGCAGTATGTGTATACCGCGTAAAATAAGAAATGTCTCGTTACACTTTAGTTTGATGACATCAGACAATGATTTCAGTGATTTACGCGTGTTTAAGATTAACAGACTTAACATACCAGAAAAAGGAACAAAATGCAATTATGTTATGATGAAAGTTTGGCGTAATGTTCTAGATGATTGATTGTACTGATTGTTGTAATAATCACTGATCCTTTTACAACAAATAAGATATAGAACTCGAACCCAAACCCAATGTTTCTCTTTCTAAAGCTATTGATAAGTAAAATATTTTCTGTGAAATCAAAAAGTCTTTTAACATCATAAAACATTTCCCCGTGTGACCAAATTCATATTTAAATCATTTACTTTCATATATCGCTTAAGGAAGGTTATCCGATATTTTGGCACCATCATTGATGAAAAGCTCAGTTTTACAGCGAACACAGACAAAATCTGAAAAATGCTAACAAAGACTTTACTCTTCACGGAAATTCAACTCTTTTAATGTCAATTATACTTCCAAACGCCACGTTTGAGAACTAACAGGGCACCAAACTCATTTCTTCCAACCAGCATCGCTATTCTAAACCAAGGTACTTGTGTGTGTCATGTCATTGTGTACATGTTGTGTTGTTTTTGGTGATTCGCATATTATTACATGCACTATTTCATGCTTTTATATATCACAGCATCTAATGTACAACAAATTCCCTTTCGGGAAAATAGAGTATTATTGTCGTTATTATTAAAACAATTCAAACAAGACTCTTATTTAACTTGTTTGGTGACTTCACGTAAGAAAAACAAAGATTCACTCCAAATAACTTACGTTTACTTCATGACATGTAAAAAAATATGGTCGGTTTTACGCCCTGGTTTTACCAACTTCACTTATATTCTAGGGTCCTTCAGACTATCAAAATGTAGATAAAAAGGTATTTTTTATAACTTTCTGTGTGATTGAAGTGTCGTATAACTTGCTAGATATACAAGATGGTAAAACAATACTGTAGGCGTGATGCATATCAGTGTATAATTGAGCCAAACGTCTCACTGAACTACCTATGCATCTATGACGTAATTGAGAGACTATCCGCGGATCACCATGACGTTATTCTCTTGCATGGAAAGGGTATTACCGCCATGTTAGGTTAGTTGTTTTTTATTGAAGTGAAGTTTTTAATGGAGTAGGTTGTGTTGTATATATATACACACACACACAGAGAAAGAAGAGAAGTGATATATATATATTTACACACACACACACACACACACACATATATACATATATTGGTGGATGGGGCGGTTGGGGGTCATAATGTTTGCGTGATCATCGCACACCAATGAACCTGCTTCCGAATACCGAAGGATAGTTAACGTAACGAGCGACCGCATGGGAATCCTATCCGTCAAACCACGTTTAACTCAACCCATTGTGTTGTGTATATTTTAAACGATATTGTATATTTATAACAGTGAGATAGCTCCAAACCATCGGCTAATGCAGTGTTGTGAATAGTGATTATGTGGTGGATGTCTGAGGGAACAGAATACTGCAGTTAATAACTGGCCCCTTTATCTATTGTGTCTTTTGTAGGTCATGTCGAGTGTGATAGTGAGGCCTATCTTGCTCTTGTTGTTTTGAACACGCCTATATGTGCGCATTGTAAGCCAAGGTCGGTGACTCGGTCTGTTGGTTTTAGTATCCCCAGATAATGCAACGTGGTAGGAATTCACCAAAGCAAAGTGGGGCATCTTCGCTTGTATGCGATCTGATAACAGTCAGGGTTTTGAATTGACAGCCGTAATGGCATTCGTTGGGCTGTATACTGAGGTGCAGCATGGTGACTGAATACTGTGTAAGGCAGACACCGTTGGGTTGTATACTGAGGTGCAGCATGGTGACTGAATAGTAACAGACATCGTTGGGTTGTATACTGAGGTGCAGCATGGTAACTGAATACTGTCACCGTTGGGTTGTATACTGAGGTGCAGCGTGGTGACTGAATGCTGTCATTGTGTTATACCGCCACAACTGTCTGCGCTTCTTTACCTAGTCGAGTACGTGTATTTTGTCTTACCCAACAGACAGCACATACATAAATAGTATGTAGAGTATTTACCTCTTCATTTACAAATACTATTTGATACTTTGCTAGCATTTATCTAAAATACAAGGCAGACATGCATTGTGCAAACATTATTTTTGTTAGATTTGGGAGTTTCAACGGTATACACACAATGCAAAATAAATATTGTGTTGGTGCTTCGAACGGGTTTCATTTATATGTGTTTTCTTTATACTCAACTTTTGCATAGTCAGACGGTCAATATATTCTTCCCAATGAAAATTGATGAGTCGTAGAACCCCCAGGCCACGAATATCTTCCATTACCTCTGCAGTTACAGGCTGCTTATTTTGTTGGTTTAAAATTGTGGTAATCACTTCAGCAAACATTGTGACTTTATAATTGAAGCCTAATGGTGAGCCTAAGTAGTGATTCCCCTGTAAAGATTAACACTGCCTTACACCGTCGGTGTGTCATTGTAGTGATTCTCTTGTAAAGATTAACACTGCCTTACACTGACGGTTTCTCATAGTAGTGATTCTCCAGTAAAGATTATCACTGCCTTACACTGACGGTGTGTCATAGTAGTGATTCTCCAGTGCAGATTATCACTGCCTTACACCGTTGGTGTCTCATAGTAGTGATTCTCCTGTGCAGATTAACACAGCCTTACACCGTCGGTGTGTCATAGTAGTGATTCTCAAGTAAAGATTATCACTGCCTTACACCGTCGGTGTGTCATAGTAGTGATTCTCCAGTAAAGATTATCACTGCCTTACACCGTTGGTGTCTCATAGTAGTGATTCTCCTCTGCAGATTAACACAGCCTTACACCGTCGGTGTCTCATAGTAGTGATTCTCCTGTAAAGATTATCACTGCCTTACACTGACGGTGTGTCATAGTAGTGATTCTCCTGTAAAGATTAACACTGCCTTACACCGTTGGTGTCTCATAGTAGTGATTCTCCAGTAAAGATTATCACTGCCTTACACTGACGGTGTGTCATAGTAGTGATTCTCCTGTAAAGATTAACACTGCCTTACACCGTTGGTGTCTCATAGTAGTGATTCTCCAGTAAAGATTATCACTGCCTTACACTGACTGTGTGTCATAGTAGTGATTCTCCAGTAAAGATTAACACTGCCTTACACCGTCGGTGTGTCATAGTAGTGATTCTCCAGTAAAGATTATCAATGCCTTGCACTGACGGTGTCTCATAGTAGTGATTCTCCTGTAAAGATTATCACTGCCTCTCACTGACGGTGTGTCATAGTAGTGATTCTCCAGTAAAGATTATCACTTCCTTACACCGTTGTTGTCTCATAGTAGTGATTCTCCAGTAAAGATTAACACTGCCTTACACCGTTGGTGTCTCATAGTAGTCATTCTCCTGTAAAGATTAACACAGCCTTACACCGTTGGTGTCTCATAGTAGTGATTCTCCAGTAAAGATTATCGCTGCCTTACACCGTTGGTGTCTCATAGTAGTGATTCTCCAGTAAGGATTATCACTGCCTTACACCGTTGGTGTCTCATAGTAGTGATTCTCCAGTAAAGATATTATGACTGCCTTACACTTCCGGTGTGTCATAGTAGTGATGCTCCTGTAAAGATTATTACTGCCTTACACCGTCGGTGTCTGATAGTAGTGATTCTCCTGTGAAGAATAACACAGCCTTACACCGTTGGTGTCTCATAGTAGTGGTTCTCATGTGCAGACTAATACTGCCTTACACTTCCGGTGTGTCATAGTAGGGATTCTCCTATGCAGAGTAACACTACCTTGCACTGACGGTGTGTCATAGTAGGGATTCTCCTGTAAAGATTAACACAGCCTTACACCGTCTTTGTCTCATAGTAGTGATTCTCATGTGCAGATTAACACTGCCTTACACTTCCGGTGTGTCATAGTAGGGATTCTCCTATGCAGAGTAACACTGCCTTGCACTGACGGTGTGTCATAGTATTGTTACAAGGTAAAAATGCATCCTAAACCCACAAGAAAATTACATCAGAATCCTTATATAGATTTGCGGCTATTCTCATGAGTGCTTTAAGGTTGGGAAAGCAATGGAAACAGAATGTCGCCAGTTACAAGTAGATCAATAGTTAGATGTGTTTGTGTCGTAGGTTTCGCGAGGCAAGTGAAGAAGACAGTCACTATTAGAGACAGAACAAATTACCAATTACGTTTAAACAACAAAGAACAGTTGCAAAGGGATCAGTCACCGATCAGTGATCTCCGTTATATTTCCAATCGCGACACACATGAGTTCAGAGTCAGAAATAGTTAACGAATTAAAACGAGGTATGGGAACATGTGGTCAAGATCAGGTCAGACTCGAACCAAGTGAAAAGAGACCTTTAACACGAGTAGAGGGGAGCGGGCGACGGAGGCGAATAGCAGTTACACAGTTTCCCACTATGGGGTGAGTCTATCTGTCTTGTGTTGAAGCTGTGTCCATCACCGGATGGACTGGCATCCTTAGTGCATCACAGCTAACTGCTGTCAAGGAAATAGAAGTGACGAGTTAGTTGTGTGACTTTAAGTAGTATACCGTGTCAAGGGTGAGACCGTGTAAGGAAGTACTGTGTGACAGGTTGGTGGTGAGACCGTGTAAGGAAGTACTGTGTGACAGGTTAGTGGTGAGACCGTGTAAGGAAGTACTGTGTGACAGGTTAGTGGTGAGACCGTGTAAGGAAGTACTGTGTGACGAGTTAGTGGTGAGACCGTGTAAGGAAGTATTGTGTGACGGGTTAGTGGTGAGACCGTGTAAAGAAGTAGTGTGTGACGGGTTTGTGGTGAGACCGTGTAAGGAAGTACTGTGTGACGGTTAGTGGTGAGACCGTGTAAGGAATTACTGCATGACGGGTTAGTGGTGAGACCGTGTAAGGATGTACTGCATGACGGGTTGGTGGTGAGACCGTGTAAGGAAGTACTGTGTGACGGGTTAGTGGTGAGACCGTGTAAGGAAGTATTGTGTGACGGGTTAGTGGTGAGACCGTGTAAAGAAGTAGTGTGTGACGGGTTTGTGGTGAGACCGTGTAAGGAAGCAGTGTGTGACGGGTTAGTGGTGAGACCGTGTAAGGAAGTAGTGTGTGACAGGTTAGTGGTGAGACCGTGTAAGGAAGTACTGTGTGACAGGTAAGTGGTGAGACCTTGTAGGGAAGTACTGTGTGACGGTTAGTGATGAGACCGTGTAAGGAAGTACTGTGTGACAGGTTAGTGGTGAGACCGTGTAAGGAAGTACTGTCACGGGTCGGTGGTGAGACCGTGTAAGGAAGTGCTGTGTGACGGGTTAGTGGTGAGACCGTGTAAGGAAGTACTGTGTGACGGGTGAGACCGTGTAAGGTAGTACTGTGTGACGAGTTAGTGGTGAGACCGTGTAAGGAAGTACTGTGTGACGAGTTAATTGTGAGACCGTGTAAGGAAGTACTTTGTGACGAGTTAATTGTGAGACCGTGTAAGGAAGTACTGTGTGACGGGTTAGTGGTGAGACTGTGTAAGGAAGTACTGTGTGACGAGTTAATGGTGAGACCGTGTAAGGAAGTACTGTGTGATGGGTGAGACCGTGTAAAGAAGTACTGTGTGACGAGTTAGTGGTGAGACCGTGTAAGGAAGTACTGTGTGATGGGTGAGACCGTGTAAGGAAGTACTGTGTGACAAGTTAGTGGTGAGACCGTGTAAGGAAGTA